TAACTCACGCTCAACACCATCTCTTGAGCACCTAATGCTATTAAGGCAGAGGGCTTCCTGCCTCACCCACGTACAACGCTAAATTACCCACCTTCGATGTGGTTGAGGCAGAGAGCTCTTCACTCTCTAATGTCTAGTGTGATAAAATCCACGTTCGACCTTGAATAGGTTGAGGGTCTCTGCTTAATTCACGTTCGACGCTTGATATTAATCCAAGCATAAACAATTATTTCTCTTAATGCTCGACGCCATTCACACTCATGCCTGATGTGATTAAGTCAAAGACAATTCTCTTTCTTCACGCTTAGTGCTATAATCCTATGTTCGATGTTAAGAGACTGAAAACCCTCAACTTTGAAATACACCTAGTATACCATGAAGGCGCTAGACAAGATGACAATTTTTGCATTTATGCAAAAATTCGATTCGCCTAATCCACTTGAAACTTAGCGAAAATCTTACATGCAACAAGATATACCATATATATTCAACTTATATGACTAAAAAACAACCCTAAAATCTACATGCAACCAAAGATTCACAATGATCATCATGTTCAACTCATAAATAACTTTAACAAAACCCATAACTCATTGATCATCATCTCAGGATTCAATTTCCATTCAACTAAAATTAAGTGATTCCAACCATCAACAATCAACATGCATCAACAAAAATCAAATACAAAGTTGTCCCTACTTCTAGTTGATCTAAAATGAGGAGAGGAGAAGAAAAGGAAGAACAACACAACTCCAACATAAGGTTTCTAACTTTGGGAGTTCGAATTTCTAACTTAGCCAAGTGATTCAACTACAAAGAAGGAAGAAAATAATAGTTTCAATTTAGAAAATGGAGAAGAACACTCAAATTCCAAAGAACTTTTCATTAGTCCCTCAAATTTAGAATTTCTTAAAACATGAACTTACGAGATTCATGTCTTAAGAAAAATATTGTCTACCTTTCCTTAGCTGAATCAATTTAACTAAACATGAGATTATCTACGAGACACCATAACTCTTAAGATTCCTAAACACTCATAGCTATAAACCAATCTTCATAACAACAAAACATTTAAATCATATAATTAAATTAAAAACACCTAAAACACACAATGTTATCTATTAAATCGTAAGAACTCTACGAATGTACCCACCACCTTTACCTTTTTGAACACCTCCTAGAAATGCAATAAAAAGCAAAGTAACTTCTTTACTACTAATTTATATAATTTAATCATTATTCAATTAAAAAAACAAAACCCTTGAATTTCTTCGATAAATATAATTATTTTATATTTAATTTATAAAAAAATTATGAGAAAAAAGTCAATTTTTTTTTATATTTTTTTTATTTTTACTTAATAACTATGAGAGAAGTTTGTCAAAGTACATTTGTCCACCAATATTCAATACTAACTTAATAAGAATTTTTTACTGATATAGAATTTAAAAAAAAATTACCAAAAAAACATCTCTACAACTTTATTTACACATCTAGAACTATTTACTGTACACACTCAAAATTCGGTTCCCGGGAAACCGAATTCTGAGCTTCAAATTTTTAATTTTTAATTTTTTGTGCTCAGAATTCGGTTCCCGGAGAACTGAATTCTGAGTACGTTTAATTTTTTTTTTTTTGTGGTTTGTGGCCCAATTTGCGTGAATCTGGGAAGTGGAACGGCCCGTTCCGGAAGCAAAACGGGTCGTTCTGGTTACACACATAGAGTGATATTTTTGAAAGTGGAACGGCCCGTTCCGAAAGCAGAACGACCCATTCCACTTTCAAAAATATCACTCTACATGTGCAAGCAGAACGACCCGTTCTGCTTTCGGAACGACCCATTCTGCTTTCGGAACGAGCCGTTCCACTTCCCAGATTTGCACAAATTAAACCAAAAACCAATATATATATATATATATTTAAAACTACTCAGAATTCGGTTCCCCGGAAACCGAATTATGAGCATAAAAAACAAAAAAAAATAAAATTTGAAGCTCAGAATTCGGTTTCCGGGAACCGAATTCTGAGTGTGTACATTAAATAGTTCTAAATGTGTAAATAAAGTTGTACAGATGCCTTTTTGGTAAAAATTTTTTTAAAAAAATTTATATCAGTAAAAAATTCAACTTAATAATGCATACCTGGGTGAAGAAGAATCTGAATGCTGAAGACGAGGCAGAAGCACCATGGCGTTTCCGAAGCCTCCTCAGAGGCACGCCCCATTCCTCTCTCCGCGCCTCCTCCACCGGCGCTTATGCTCCCTCCCGCCACCCTCCCCCCGCGACGAAAACGATGCCGAAGTGGTCTCCAAACTCCTCTTGCAGCAGCACAACCCCTTCCACGCCACCGAATTGAGCCTCCAACTCCACGGCATCACCCTCACCCCAACCCTCTTATTCCAAACCCAAGGAGCGCGGTGGTCTTGGGGTTAGGGAGGCGTGTAGGGTTAATGTAGCACTCCTTGGGAAGTTAGTTTGGGATCTGCTAACGGCGCCACAGAAGCCTTAGGTTCAAATCCTCAGCAGCTTATACCTACATGGAAATTCTATCTTGTGTGCCCAAAACAGGCGGGGTGCTTCTCCAATCTGGTCAAGTCTTGTTAAGGCCCTTCCTTCTCTTTGTGAGGGTTTCGAGCCTTGGCTAGGGTCGGGTGCCTTATCCTTTTGGTACACGAACTGGTCAGGTACTGGGCTTTGGTGCGGGAGAGTCCCGTTCGTTCACGTTGCAGACATCAATAAAACGGTCGCCGACTGCTGGGTTAGTGGAGTTTGGAACTTTGCTTACTTACATACTGTTCTCCCGGCGGAGCTGTCAAGTTCGGTCCAACGGCTGAGTGTCGTCAATTCCTCTTTGGGACTGGATCACTTTGTCTGGAGGGGTGATCACTCGGGTTGTTATTGACAGTTGTCTCTCTGTACTGAAATAATTGAATCTTGAGATTTCAGCCAAACATATCTTCATTGCGAAGATAAGGACTGATTGATATTGAATCTGAAGAACCTGTTTCTTGAACATTTTTATTTAATAACTGTTCTTCTATTCTTTTATATTGAATTTCTTTAGATAAAAAATTGATTTGTTTTATTTTATTTTCTATAATATTTTTTCTCTTAATAGGTTTAATTCTCTTGACCTTGGTGGATGTATAAATTCAAAACATATTATATTGTCTATTACTTGAGTTTCTAATCCTTTTGTAGTAACTTTAAAAGGATATAATAATGATAAAAAGGGTGTTCCTAATATACAAGGAATGTTCATATTTTTTACTAATACAAAAGAAGTTTCATAACAAATTTTGTTCTTACAAATTTTTGCGGATGATAATTTATAAATTTTCATATAAGTGTTATTAGCACTCAAAGTTCGATTTTTTATTTCAACATAAAATTACAATTAAAAATATTACGTTGTTTTTATAAGAACCGATGAAAAATAGTTAATCTTAAATTAAAATACCATAACTTTATTATCATTATTATAATAATAATAATAATTATGATTAATATTATTATTATCATCGTAAACAATGTCATGATCATAATTATTGACATAACTATTATTATTAGTGTTCACATTGTTATCTCTATGGTTATCATAAGAAACACATTTTTAAATTAATTTTAACATATGTGAAAACTTTTAAAAAAATTAGAACAAAAAAATTAAAATCTAAATCTAAATCTAAAAGCTAAAAACTGGTTGTGGTTTTAAAAATATAAAATTGAAAACCATCTTAATCAAGTCCGAGTGATTGAATTAAACGTGTTTTTAATATATAGAATAATTCATCAACTAATTGATATGTATAAGAGTGAGAAAGGTCTAACATGTCTACTAATTTAATTCAATCTATCGTTGATTTGAACATGTTCAAATTTTGCAGTATAATTTTTAGAATGGTTTAGGTTATGTAACTTTTGAAAAATATTGCTTTCAAATCACACATGAATTTACAATCAGCTTAAATATAATTTTTGTCCTTATAATTTATCATTTTTTTATTTTTATTCTAAGTAAATTTTTTATTGTTATTTTATCTTTATTTTTTTATAATGTTTTAAAAATAATATCATTAATTTCTATTAAAAATATATTTTAAATTATATGAATTAAAAAGTAAAATAAATAAAATTAAAAAATATTTTAACTTAAAAATAATTATAAAAGCGTTATTTAAATGATTTTGAGCACTAAAAGTGGTGCTTTTTTAAAATAAAGAAACTAAAATAGATTTTTTTAAAGACTAAAATTAAACTTAAAAAATTTTAGGAAGACCAAAAATATGTTCCACCTTATTATTTATTATAATATTTTTATAATATTTTTCTTTCTTACGCATAATATAATTATTATACTAATTTTATTATCATTCGATATTTTTTAATATTACATTACTTATTTTAATCGTTATACTATTTTCTATATAAATTATCATTGTTAATAAACATTTAATTTTTAAATAAAAATGTAAGAATTCAAAATAAACTAAAATGTCTAAAAATATTTTTGTTTGTATTATTAAAATCTCGAATAAATATATTATTTTATATCATTTTATATTTATAAAATAATTATAGGGAAAAATAAAATATGTATTACAATGTAAAATACTTTTACCTGATTATCTCATAACAAATAAACATTTATGATAAATATATTTAGTTTGATAAGTACTTACAAATCATACAATTTGAGTTAGTTAAAGTTGTAAAATATTTTACACTAACAATACATAAACTCTTCTAAATCAATAAACTAAATAAATAAATAAATATCAGTACTTAATAAAATGATACCAATTTAATTTACTTGACAATGTTATATGTTTTGTTCGATTTGTTTTAATATTATAAAATTTCAATTTTAAGAACTACTGTAATTTGATAAAATTTAAACGTTCAAATCAAAGCAGAAAAAATATAAAATTTGAAATATCAAAATCAGAATGTATTTTTTCAAAAAAAAAAAAAAAAAAGAAAGGGTAACATTAGCTTTTTCCCACTAGGGCTAATCACTAATAGCCTGTGACCATTTTCCTACTTCAACTTCAATCTCTCCCTTTCTTCAACCCTCGTCGCACCTTCTCACCCTTTCTCAATGTAAGTGTTTTTCCACTTGTTCATTCCCTCAATTTCTTCAACTCCTCATACCCCCTCAATTTATGACTATACTTTTCACTCAGATTTTTCTGAGCTATGAGTTTCGAATTGGGGTATTTGTTCATGTTTAAACCCTACCCTTCCACGTGTTTCGTTAGCTGTTTTCGATAATGTTATTTATCAAGATTTTGAATCTTTGATTCTTTAGTAGAAAGTTGGGGTTGGGGTTTTTCTGGCTTTGGGGGTGCTCTAGATATGATTAAACAGATATTCGGTAAAATACCTCGCAAACCCTCAAAATCTTCTCATAATAATTCAAACGGTGAAGGAGGGATCAATGATGGTTTCTCACTGAACTCATCTTCTGGGACCAATTCCAATACCCTCTTGAAACCCAATTCAGTTTCTTCGAAATCTTCAAGCTCTGGTTCAGTTGGGTCTCGTTCTGGGAATGAGACTAGTGCTCAACAGTTTACAAATCAAACTAAGAAATCAGCTCCACCAACGGGTTCGGTAATGGCTTCTGCGGTTTATGAGGCTTTGCCTAGCTTTAGGGATGTTCCTAGCTCCGAGAAGCAGAATCTTTTTATTCGAAAGTTGAATATGTGCTGTGTTGTGTTTGATTTTAATGATCCTGCTAAGCATCTCAAAGAGAAGGACGTTAAGCGGCAAACTCTACTTGAGCTTGTTGACTACGTTTCGTCTGTGAATTCCAAGTTCAATGAGTTGGCGATGCAGGAGATGACGAAGATGGTGGCGACCAATTTGTTTCGTGCTTTGCCTTCTTCCAATCATGATGGGAAGTTGGCTGAAATCTGTGAACCTGAAGAGGAGGAACCTGTTATGGAACCGGCATGGCCTCATCTGCAGATTGTGTATGAATTTCTCTTTAGATTTGTGGCTTCACCAGAGACGGATGCTAAGCTTGCTAAAAGATACATTGATCATTCGTTTGTGTTGAGGCTGCTTGACCTTTTTGACTCAGAAGACCAAAGAGAGAGGGATTACCTGAAGACTATTCTCCACCGTATTTACGGGAAGTTCATGGTGCATCGGCCGTTCATTAGAAAAGCTATCAACAATATCTTTTACCGGTTCATATTTGAGACAGAGAAACACAGTGGGATTGCCGAGTTGCTAGAAATATTGGGCAGCATAATTAATGGTTTTGCTCTGCCTTTGAAAGAAGAGCATAAGCTGTTCCTTGTCCGGGCACTGATCCCACTTCACAAGCCCAAGTGCGTTGCTCTCTATCATCAACAACTTTCGTATTGCATTACTCAGTTTGTTGAGAAGGATGTCAAGCTGGCTGATACTGTGATAAAAGGCCTTTTGAAATATTGGCCAATAACTAATAGCACAAAGGAGGTAATGTTCCTTGGTGAGTTGGAGGAAGTTTTAGAGGCAACTCAAGCAGCAGAGTTTCAGCGATGTGTGATTCCATTATTTCGTCGAATTGGTAGATGCCTCAATAGCTTACACTTTCAGGTGCTTATGAAATTCACTCATCCACATCTTTTCTTTTCTGATGTCTGCATTCATTTGATTAGCATTTGCCAACACCAGTGACCACTCATTTCTGTATAGAGATTTCTGCGTTATTCATTTCCATTCCCACTTTGCTTCTCCTAGCTATCTTAGATGCTATCATTTATCTAATATTTGAATATTACTCAATCTTTATGACACTGACACCATTTTGCTCTCTCTCTCTCTCTCTCTCTCTCTCTCTCTCTCTGTGTGTGTGTGTGTGTGTGTGTGTGTGTGTGTGTCTCCCCTGAATGTGCCCCGAGTACACATCTTGGAGGAGGCCAGCAACAGCAACCTACTCACCTTGCTGCCACCAGGACACAGCCCTAACAGTGCAGACAAATCCAAGCATTGTCGATACCACAGGAATCATGGTCACACCACTAAGGAATGTCGCACCCTCAGAGATCGTATAGAGGAACTCGTCCAGGCGGGACACCTTGCGCAATATTTCCAGCGGTAGCAAGGTTACCAAGGGGCCTACAACGGACGAGGACGAGGCCGAGGTCGCGGTGCAGGCACCTGCACAAACCAACTCTCTGGATCCCAGCAAAACACTGGTGGCGCAGTGCAGGCCGAGGTAAGTCAGGAAACAGGGTCGGCCCCCTTGCGTGGCGTCATCAACAAATTGCAGGTGGTTTCGTAGGGGGAGGCTCTAGCAGCTCGGCGCGAAAAAAACATTTGCGCAGCATCAACAATGTCCACTCCACTACCTCGGCCTCGCACCAGGGCACACCGCCAATAACTTTCACCGACGATGACTACAACGGCATCTGCCCCAACCAGGATGATCCAATGGTCATCGCCTTAGAGGTCGCTAATTAGGAGGTGCACAAGATGTTGATTGACCAAGGGAGCTCAGCAGACGTCCTATACTGGCCGACGTTCCTCAGGTTAGACATCCCGCATTCCCTTATTCAACCTCATACAGAACCTCTAGTCAATTTTGCAGGAGAGCGTGTTCACACTCGAGGGTACGTGGACCTACTGACAACCTTCGTAACCTCTCCTGACTCAAGGCGGATCATGGTCTGATACCTCCTCGTGGAAGCCAACACGTCTTACAATATCATCATTGGAAGACGAACGTTGAATCAACTTGGAGTAGTGGTGTCTACCCCACACCTCACGATGAAGTTCCCAGGGAACGGCGGTAAAGTCATCTCCGTCAGGGCAAACCAGAAAATAGCTCGGTAGTGGTACACCGAGAGTTTGAAGGTCTCACCATCCGACGAGCACCGCAAAAGTGACCCTCCTACCATGGCTCATATCGTCCACGTGGACATCACCGACTTAGATTCGCTGTCGGACCCCCACGAAGAACGGCCAACTCCCATCGACGAGCTCAATGACCTCCAGATCGGCAAACTCCCTAGACAGTGCACCAAAATTAGCAAGCACCTAAACCTGGAGTTGCAGCAACAACTTGAGGCTGAAATTTCCAAGAACGCTGACCTCTTTACATGGTCCAGCGCTGACATGCCAGGTATAGACGCTAACCTCATCTGTCACAGGTTAGCAATTAACAAGGAGGCAAAACCAGTAGCCTAGAGAAAGAGGAAGGTCAACGGTGAGAGGCGACAGGCCATTATCGCTGAAATGCAAAAACTACTGAACGCGGGCTTCATCCGCGAAGTCAGATACGCCACATGGCTGGCGAATGTGGTACTGGTGAAAAAGAGCTCGAGGAAGTGGCGCATGTGCATCGATTACACCGACTTGAACAAAGCATGCCCCAAGGACTCGTACCCCTTGCCGAGAATCGGTAGGCTGGTCAACGACGCATCCGGGAATGCCCTCCTCAGTTTCCTAGATGCTTACTCCGGGTACAACCAGATCATGATGTACCCACCAGACAAGGTGCACATGTCGTTCATCACCGACCACGCCAACTTTTGCTACCGGGTGATGCCCTTCGGTCTCAAAAACGCAGGGGCCACCTACCAATGGCTAATGGACAAGGTCTTCCACCAACAGATCAGGAGGAACATAGAAGTCTACGTCGACGACATGGTAGTCAAAACCACCTCGGCTGAAGGTCATGCCGCCGACCTAGCTGAGGTGTTCATCCAGATCAGGAAACACAACATGCGCCTCAACCCAGAGAAGTGCATCTTTGGCATCCAGGGAGGTAAGTTCCTGGGCTTCATGATCACCAGCAAGGGGATTAAAGCCAACCTGGAGAAATGCAAAGCCATCATCCAGATGTAGAGTCCCCAGATTGTGAAAGACGTCCAACGCCTGGTAGGAAGATTGATCTCTCTTTCATGCTTTATCCCCAGGTTGGTGGAGAAGGCAAGGCCCATCTTCACCCTACTGCGAAAGCCAAAACATTTCGAGTGGACGGACCAGTGCGATGAGGCTTTCAAGAGCTTCAAAACCTTCCTCACGACTCCGCCAATCCTTTAGAGGCCGGATCACCAAGCCGACCTCCTCCTCTATCTGGCTGTGGCAGAAGGCGCGATCAGCGCGGTTATAGTGCAAGAGAACCAAAAAATGCAGATGCCGGTCTATTTTATCAGCCGAGTTCTCCAAGACATGGAGAAACGGTACCAAACAATTGAAAAGCTCGCACTGGCGCTTGTCACCGAAGCTCGGCATCTCCGACCTTACTTCCAAAGCCAACAGGTGATTGTCAAGACCGACTACCCAATCAAGCAAATCCTAAGAAAGTCAGAGCTCGCCGGGTAGAGGATAGCATGGTCGGTAGAATTGTCTGAGTTCGACATTCAGTACGAAAATTGCGGTGCTTTGAAAGCTCAATGCCTAGCTGACTTCATAGTCGAACTGACGCCAACCTCGGTCGATGAACCACAGGTATGGACTTTACATGTTGACGGGTCCTCCAACTCTAAGGGTGGTGGTGCAGGTATCATCTTGGAAGGTCCAAATCAAGTCACCTTGGAGCAATCTCTCAAGTTTGGCTTGAAAGTAACAAACAACCAAGCAGAGTACGAAGCACTTCTCGCAGGGCTAAGGTTAGCTCGTGACCTCGGAGCACAAAGAGTGAGTTGCAACAGCGACTCAAAACTCATGGTAGAGCAGCTCAGCGGGACATACCAGCCCAAGGATGCTCTTCTACAACGATATTTCCACGTAACATCACGACAGATCTCGTCTTTCGACGAGTTCACTATACATCATGTACCGCGAGAGCAAAACACCAGAGCTGACCGAAAACCAAAAGAAGCTTGATGAAGAATCAATAACGTTTGGTTCCGAGTTTCACAATTATCAATTGAAGCCGTATAGGAGATAAACTATTACACATAAGGTACTTTTGAGACTTAAAAATTTAAATCCAGATTTTTTCTGGTGTTCCATTCTTTCATAGTGTTCCTAGTTTCTTTGCCCCAATTTATTTTTAAGGGGAGTATTTAATTAGTTTTCTTCAGAGATGTTGATTGCTAAAGATCTCTATATCCTTGATATGAAAGCTATGAATGTTGCGGCCTCGTCCTTAATAAATGGTTCAATATGCTGTCAAAAGTCAAAGTTCATAGTCTGGAAAACTAATAAAGAAAAGATTAGAAATTCAGATTACACTTCTATATCTGCATGTTGACTGGTATAAATTTGTGGTTTGCTAGGAAGGCATTTTATCATTTGTACTTTTCTATTCATCTGCCTGCCCCATTTTTCATTTTGACTCTGGACATACTATTTGGTCCCAAAATTGCCCACTACTTATTGGCCTCTATGAGATGCTACCTATTCAATGAGGCATGCTCCTTGCTTGGGCACCTCTTCGTAGTTTAAGGCAAGGCATGCCTTTTATTATTGCCTTATTGTTATTGATGATGATAAAATACCATTAATCTTACAAATTAGTTCACCTGAAGAACTAGCGAGGAGAGTAGTCTCGGTTCAACCAGTTAAATTAGTGGCTGAATTGGTCTCTTTATAAAATCAATCTTCGACAAGTGTGCCTAACGAAGCTGCAAAAGACTAAAAGACAAGGTTCTTATAGTGAAATTGAATGGGCTAGCTTACTGCCCATTCTAGAGGAGGGAGGAGGATTAAGAGAAAGGGAAGAGTTATTTGGAGTGGGTAGAGAGGGAAGCATCAAATGAAAAGAACTCCCGATCATACTTTAAGGATGATAAAAATCTGATTTACTTCCTGTGAATGTAATAATTGTTTGGATTTTGGGTTTTGTGACTAATTGATGATGTTCATATTTTATTTTTAATAAATATATGCAGTCTTTGGTCAACCGTATCTTGATCTTTTATTCTAGAGTATTAGGCTCATATTCATATCCTGTTTCATGTCCATTTTGCAGTCGATGATATCCTTGATGTTTTATATGGCAATGGGAGCATGGTCAATTTGTTGTTTCATCTTTTATGTTGCTGGTTTTTATGCTTTCTTGCCACATAATAAAATAAATCTTTCTCTACATGGTTTTCTTTTAGAATAAGTAGCTTTTTTGTCTGCTGGGTTCTCCTTCACAGGTAGGCAGTAGAAAACGAAAATTATGAAGTTCAAAAACTCCAAGATTCCATAAAGAGAATGATTACATGGGATATAGGTTTTCACCTCATGATATCGGTAAAGCTTGTTAAAAGAAAAAAGGCTCTATCAGAAGAAAGCGGCATTACAACTCCGAAATCAAAACATAAAGGTGGTTGGATTTGGATGACAGCATCGTGGAGGGTTCTCTCCTTTGAAGTCCAAAAGGAAGAGTTGGAGGTCTCTGGTAACATTATAGGAGTAAAGTTACATTTCCAGTTATGACTTAATATTCAAAATCGGATATGGAATTCCGGTCATTAATGAAGGAACATAAGTGTCGGTCTCAAACGAGGAAGGTTCACAATGGGAACCCCTAATTCAAGAGGTTCAGCCAAGGCTTTTTCATCACAGGTTCCCATCATCTAGATTCGGCAGCTCTGGTACTCATGGATTGGGGAGTAGTTGCAACTAGCGGTAGCTTTCTTGATTACATACTCTATCTGTAAACCAGTAAAATTATCTTCATTTTGAAGTTTTAAAATTTATATTCATTTTTTGAAGTTCTTTCTATACATCATCGTGATATTTCTTTCAGCACTATCTTACTCTGAAATGTGAATTGGCATTATCAAGATTGCATGTAGCATTGACGACTTGATATGAGATATGGTGGAGAATATAAAGAAATGTTTGACACACTTTACTCATATTTCAAATTTCGAATACGGTCAAATATCTCATCGTTTTCTTACCTATGAAATTATCAAACAACTCGTGTGCATATAAGTAGACATGTTTATGATAATTGTATTTTTTTCTTCTTATTTTAATATTTTTGTAAGTTTTATTTTTTTTATTATTTTATGTTAAATAAAAAAATCATGAAAATGTGCTAAAAAGACATTTAATAAAGTCACAAAATAAAATATAGTAAAAAAATAATGATATGATAAATTCAATAAAGGAAAAAGATATCTAATACAAAAAATGTTCCTTAGCACGAAGTGATGTGAATAGATTTTAGTTAAAATTAATTTTTCAGTCTCCATCACGGATGTAAAGTTAGATATATGGGTTGTGTTCTGAACTGATGTATCTAGCCTGCAATCTACGTGACCTTCATCCCTGTGAGCTGGTCCATATAAATACATGCTTATACGAGTAGGTTCGTTTAAATTGCATTAAAAATATTTTAAAAACCTAAAAATTGTTTATTAATTAATTCCGAAATTTATATCTGACATTCGATAATTATTTAGTTGACTTGAAACTTGAGACTATTTGGCGTTCGGTAATTGTTATTATTATTTTTATTTAAGTCTGTGCGCTAGCCTTAATAACACGTCGGCGCATATTAGTTATTATACTATTAGTACAAGAGAGAGATTTCGTATCTCTTTATATTTTTAAAAATAATAAAAAATAAAAAGATAAAAATAATAAAATAAGTGATTATTTAAGAAGTGAGAAGTTTAGAAAAGGAAACGCAATTGAATAACTTAAAAGTGGTTCTAATTTATATGGGTCAAATATTTCAAAAAATTATGTGCACAAAACTTTATATATAAATATAGATAACTAAATTATTTCTTGAGTTAATTTGCGAAACTAAGAGGACTGGACTAACTAATTACTCAAATTTGGTAAACTTGTTAAACTATTTTATTAAATTATTATTATTATCAATATTTTTTTTCATTGAATTACAAGTGTTTAGTATTCAAGTGTTTGGTAAAATTACATTAATATAACTGATAAATGTAAATGACTTGAATAAATATGTTTATATTTATATAAAATTTTAGTTTATTTATTGATAAAAAAATATTTTTGAATATTTATAATTTTTGATTAATTTTAAACTCTTGTAATTTTTCATTTATAGATAATTATTTTAGTTCTATTTTCTTAGTTCCAATTATTATATTTTTATATTGTGTGTTGTATTATTAATTTTATATCATATCTTAAAATATTTCCAAACAAGTTTAAAATAAAGTAAAACAACGTACACTAAAGTAGATCTATCATTATCAATATCTTATGTAATAAAAGGGTAAAAGTAAGACACTTCTATTTTATGGTAAAAAAATAGTAGAAACGATAAAACTTTATCTTATGAGTGGAAGAAAAGAAACAAAAAGTTAATATAAAATCATATGTTATACTCTATATAGAAAAAGGTAAAAGGAAAATTATAATAAATATGTTAAAGACAAAAGAAGAATAAAATATAAGAAACTAGAACCTAGTTTTAAAAAGCTCCTTGAAACAATGCCTGTAAAAATACTACAAACCATTAAAAAAAATTGATTACAAAACACTAATAATAAGATCAAAGAAAACAAGTGAAATAATTTTTTAATTAATAAAAAATTGAAACTTATCAGAAATGACGTGTTCAACATTTTTTTTTAAATTATTAGCTCCTCTTAGAATGAGGTAATGCTTTTGCTTATTGGAACGAGGGTTGGTCTTACAAGATTCCTTACTAGGGTTATACCTTATGCTCCTCGAAGTCAAAAGGATGGTTATTCTCCCTTAAGCCCATTGGAAGCAATGTTCATAGATCCATGTCACTACCACTCACCACACACACATGATATCACAATTACCTGATTTTGGCCATCAATTAGTCCTTTAACCAATCCATTATTCTTTCTTCTTTCTACGTGAATTTCAACTTCAACCTTTTTTCTTTTTTCCTTTTTTTTCATGAAACTTCCTTCCAGTTGTACCTTACAAATAAGAAAACCTCTCATTTTCTCACTTAAATTAATTTCACCTATCTATTCACTATAAAATTCTAGGATTCTCAACAGATTGAGTTCAAAGCACCATTCTCATCTCGAAAGCAAATAGGTAAGTAAAAAAGCTATCATCACAATAACACCTCACTAGATTTAAGATGCACCAATGACCAATCTCACATTACATCACATTCAAACACACACTAAATCCACATCATATCATATTTGTGCAACCTTTTGTTTTTTCCCCTTGTAACTTCTCATGTACCCTTCTCCCATGTCCCAAAATTTTCACCCCGCATAGCAACTTCTCTGAACAAAAATAGCCACAACAATTTCAAAAAAACACATGCCCACAAAGAAAAAAAGCAGTCTTTATTACTATCGCCTGTTTTGCAGTTCTGTCTTCCTTCTTTCACATGCCCAATATTCATTCTTCCCTCCCAATCTTTTGATTCTTCCACCACTTTACCAAACAACAAAACCCTAGATTTTCTCTTTCCAATCACTTAATTCTCTGAGTTCTTCACCCAAAAGGCAAAAGATACTCAAAATTCCCCCTTTTGCATTTTTCCTTTCAATCACATCCCATCTGAATTCTTTGATTGCTTGATTTCTTCAACAGCTTCTGCGGTTTTCTCTTTTCATAAACCCCAATTTCTCTACGTGGGTCTCTGAAAAAATGGCACCTTTCTGATCACGAATGGGCATGGCCTAGTGGTATTCACCATCTTGTTTTCACATCAAGAAACCGTTTTTTTTTTGTCCTGAATGAGTTGAATTTTCTTGGGTTGTTGTTGTATATTGGGTTGAGAAGCATTTTTTCTTTTGTTGTGAAACAGTTTGCAGTTGCAGCGACAATGTCAGATGACATGCTCATTCATTTCTCATCCAACTCTTCCAACCAATCAGATCAGTCTCTGCCTACAAAGATTGCAAAATTGGAAGCTCGTATGGTTGGTAAGGGTTCCTCTGCCACTGCTCAGCAATCAGGTTGGTCTGCTATGTCAGTTCCTTCAGCTGGGAAATTTGGTGGAGCTGCTGAAGACTTGACTCAACCTTCCACTTCCAGTGATTCTGATGATGATGTAAGTCTTATCCCTATTCAGTGCAATGAGTTTGGTGATTTGACTGCATTTGTGAAGACTATTGTTATTATAGTTTTGGCTCATTTGCTTGTGCTGCCAGGGATTTTCAATGTTTTAGAAGCTTATTTTGTTTAATTTGTTAGTTGATTGGTTGTGTATTTATTTATGCTTTAGGATATAATAAATGTATGTTGTATGTTTAGGGTTTATTGCTGCTGTTATTACGTTGATAACATGACATGGAGATGATTGGTTCTGTGTGTTTATTAATGATCTGGAAAATTGGTAGATGTATGGGAATATATTCCTATGATAACTTGACTGGTTAGACTGTCGGCATCTTCGTGTTTCTGTTCCAGAATGGTGGGGAATTTTTAATACAAGCCAACACACAGAAGCGCCAAAGACTTCATGAAGATGGTAGCGCTAGTGTTTTGGAACATGTCGAGGTTAGTTTTCATGACTTGATGTACTCTTTGCTGTAGTTATAGAATAGCTACATCTCATGTTGAAAATACAGCTACTCACTGGATAAATTGATTCCTTTTAAATGTTTTAATTTTATCATCTTCTGTTTCTAGTATTTATTAACCACTTGTAAGAAGTGTATTTTTTTGTTTCAGAAATTGGTCATCTAGTTGTTTCTTACTTAAAATATTTTACATATCAGGTTGCTACTGATGGAAGGCAAACTAGTTTGGAAGCAGTGGAGACAAAAATTAATGTTGATGTGAATAGAAAGAAACATGGCCGTGGAAGAGGGGGTTCTGGTTCAGGTAGAGGCCGTGGTTCTAGAGTTAATGATCAGACCAGAACACAGATTTCTCCTCCCATTGTTTTGGCTTCAAATGGTCAGATTGAGAATTTACACCATAAAGTATGCTCCTCCTTCCCGTGAAACATTTTTTACTGTAATTGTGATTTGTCAAATTGTCCTACCTTTTTTTTTTTTTTTTTTTTTTCTAAACTGGTCTTTTCAATTGGGAATTTATCTGTAGTCTATACATGATTGCATCCATAGTTGCAAACTATGTCATCTATAACTAATTTTACTGTATACCCGAGAGTGAAACTTCTAGGCTTAAAGGATTACAACTGGAAGGAGTTATTGTATTATCTGTAGTTTGTAGCTGAAAGGAAATTTGATTGCATTGGTCTTGGGTGCCCCTCTTTGTTGCCTGTTATTTTAATGGTTCCTCAATACCAGTGTAATGTCTCATAAATCATTCTTTGATAGGCAAGTTTTATTTGGCATTATTGTCTGGTTGCATCTTTTAGCTCTTGGTTACGTTAATTGGAATCTTTCCTGATTCCTACCAATGGAGTATTCATAAGTTGAGGAATGACAAATTGCTTAAGCAATTAATTTCACCGATTGATCTTTTATATTTTACTCCTCGTTTGTTCCCTATAGAACTCATATTTATTTGCAGGATGGCAGACTTGTTGATCAATTTCATAATGATAATTATGCTTCATTAGAGGTATGTCTTTCGCCTAATTCCACTTGTAAAATTTGCGATTAGTAAAAGAATGTATGGCTTTATATGAAAATAAATAGAAGTTTGATATGAATTATTTCATTTCTACCTCAGTCCACCAGATCCCAGTGACATTGCTGATACTTTAACTTTTCATTGTTGTTTCATTGGGGTATCAAAAGCTTGTAATTTTTCATTTTATTTCACCTTTATCTTAAATTAGGAGGAGGTTGCATCTTTACAAGCAAAAGTTGTAGCATTGGAGGGGGAATTGCTTAAATCAAAGCAAGAATCTGCTGAATATCAGAATCTTTATCGACAGTTAGAAAAGGTATGTGAATATTGTAGTCAAAATGAGAATTGTGAATCAGAAGGATGTTTTCTGAATCTTGAATTGTATCACATTGTAAAATACCATTACAAATTGAAAAACAGTTTTGAAGAGATGTAAATGATTTTAACCCAAATTTAAGGGGAATTATGAAATGTCCAAGTCATGAACCTGGCATGCAGGAACAGTAAGACTATGAGCAGACCATTAGACCACACCTGAATTAGGCAATTAAAAAAGGGAAACCCTGTGCACAGGGCTCCTATCTAATGGGGTCTGGGGAGGGTTGATGGACGCAGCCTACTGCCGCAAATGCAGAGGCTGTTTCCAGAATATGAACCCACAGCCTCCATGTTACTAGGAAACTTACTTTTGTGCCATGGTTTGCCCTCCCTAATTTAACTATATCAATACCAAATATGGCTATTGTGAAATATACATTAAAGGTAAGGTAATTGAGAGTTGATGAAATTGGTGTTGATTTTCTGTTATTTTAATGTTTTTCTTGGTTTTGGCCCATGCAGGAACTGAAGGAGTTGACTGATCAAGAACAGCAAATGAAGCCTAAGGTAAAGTTTCCTTCTTGAGTCTATCAAAACACTTCATTCCTAATTATGTATATGTTATTTAAATTTAAAATAGAGAGAGCAGCAATTGTCCTCTTGGTTCATGTAACAGAGCGTATACACCAAACTTAGTTTATTTGAATTCTTTATGTAAAAGGGAACTAGAAATTTTAGACAGCTCCTCATTGATACATGACAAGTGTGTCACTTCCATTATTTGAGAGAGTAAAATAAGCAATATCAATTGTTGATGAGAAAATCAATGGTTGATATTATGTGCACATGTATAACAAATTATGCATTTGTTAAAATATTAAACACTAATTTTCTCTTCAATCATTGAGATTACTTTACCTTTACTCTGTAGATCTCTGCTGCCACTCCCTCCCCTCCCCCAACAAACTAGTTAATGAGCATTCTTTGTATCATGCATCAATTAGGCAGCATATTCACATTTGATCCTTCAATTTTGCAGAGAATGAAAATAATATCTGACTTGCTGATATCCGTTTCAAAGGCTGAGAGACAAGAAGCAAGGCTGAAAGTACGGCAAGACTCATTAAGACTTGGAAATGTTGGTGTAATCAGGTATTCGTGGAGCATTTTAAGAAGTTACATAATTATCAATCCTGGATAGCACGTGGAACGCTGCTATTGCGGGACAGTGGATAGTGGGATAACTGCTATTGTGCAACTTTAAATATATGTTAAATAATTCATATATATTATATACATATATACCTGCTACTCTGAGAAATTCTTTATATCTATATATATATATATTATTTTTCCTTCTAATTTTCTGATTAGTTCAATTTTGAATTGTAGAGCTGGAACTGTCATTTCCGAGACCTGGGAAGATGGTCAAGCTTTAAAAGATCTGAATACCCAGCTTGTATGTCCCCTTTCTTTTCTCCTCCTTCATGTCATTCTTTTTAATTTTTTGTAATGGAGATTATTACTGATTGTGATCAATTTATCAGATTCAACTAGGATTTATTGTGAGATTTAATATCATTTAGTGATTATTATAACAGACAATTTTTAGGATTCTTATTCTTTCCTAATTTACCGTGATCAATATCATCCAAATTGATAGTTTTCCTTATTGAACACTTTATGGATCGATTAAATTGTCATCATCTGAAGATATTTTATGATTCATTTGTGCAGTAAAATTGCATTCTGTTTGCTACCTTTTTCTATTATAAATATTATCAAACCTGCACCTTTTTGCTTCAGTTGGACAGATGACTGAATACAATTATAGGATAGTGTTTTTGGGGTTTCAAGGTGTTTTCCTTCTCAGTAATGTTTGGCTATAGCATAGGGTATATAATGCAATGTTACAATAACTTCTGTCTGTTTGTTTTGGCTATTGAAACCTTGGCTATGCTGATGGCTTGCATTAGTGATACTAAGAATTCCTTTTCCTGTTCATTTTTTTTTTTGTTTTTCTGCAGAAACAACTAATAGAAACAAAGGAGGCAATTGAACGGCAGCGCAAATTGTTTAAGAAAAAACAATCTGGTAAATTCTGCTTCCTTTTATTCTTTTAGCACTTATCCTCCTAAAATTGGGGAAGACGGGTTGATGGGACCAAATTTGGGACTATCCTTTTGACTCCATCATACCCCTCTTCAATTATACCAGTTGTCAGTATGAACTATCATTCTATGCATCTTGCTAACTCTGTACATTAAGTACTTTGTATATATTTGACTTTCAATAGCCTTCACTCGATACTACACAAATCATGACTGATCGTATGGTCCTTAAGATGGCCTAATAGATACAATAAATATCTGTTTCATCCTATCAGATACTGCCTGAATATCTTGTATCAATATTACTCTGCTCAATCTCAATGTGTTAATAGTGTTTTTTATTTTTTGGGCCTTTTCTCTGGTTGAAGATAAGGGTGATGGAACAGATGCAGAGGCTGGATTACCAGAAGATATTATAATTCATGATGAAATCTACAAATCTCGATTAGCTAGCCTTAAACGAGTAAGTTGCTATTTCTGCTTGTCTAATTATTTTCTTTCTTATATTTCTAATAGCAGGAAAATGTTCAGGAAGAAGAAATTATTTTGCGGGAGAGGGACCGGTATGAATTAGAGAAGGGGAGGTTAATTCGTGAAATGAAACGTATACGGGATGAAGATGGTTCACGGTTTAACAACTTTCAGATTCTAAACCATCGTTATGCCCTTCTTAACCTTCTTGGGAAGGGGGGATTCAGTGAAGTTTACAAGGTCAGAACTTTTAAAAAGTATAATAATAACCATTTGACCATATTGATATTTTAGCAACAAATTCTCTAACACACTTTATAAACTCTATTATTTACTGAAAGTTATTAGAAATAAAAAAAAAACATGTGTAGGTCTCACTGTTTAACTTATTCTCACCTCATGAATTTATAGTCTCCTATACATTTTAATTAATAATAATAGAAAGTATGTTGCCAGTACTCAATTTATAGCAAATATTGTACAAGGATTTGAGAAACTAAAACCAGAATCTAGGCAATTGCTTGGCCTATATTGGCAATTGTAAATAAATACCTTTTTGCAGTGATTTGAAGTAAGAAATTTCGAGCAGGCTTTTGACTTGGTGGAGCATAGATATGTTGCATGCAAGCTTCATGGTTTAAATGCTCAATGGAGTGAAGAGAAGAAGCAAAGTTACATACGCCATGCAATTCGGGAGTATAATATTCACAAGACTCTTGTACATCGTCACATTGTTCGTTTATGGGACATCTTTGAGATTGATCAAAACACATTCTGCACCGTTCTAGAGTATTGTAGTGGTATATGCAGTTAATTGTTTTATAAAGTTTGTTTATTGTTGATCAAAACACATTCATTGGTTTTGTTTGGTTTCTTGTTTTGTCTACCACTTTGCCCATTGATCCTCCTTTATTCTTCCAGGGAAGGATCTTGATGCTATCCTTAAAGCAACACCTATATTACCTGAGAGAGAGGCTAAAGTCATCATAGTTCAGATTTTTCAAGGCCTTATTTACATGAATAAAAGAACACAGAAGATTATTCATTATGATTTGAAGCCTGGAAATGTTCTATTTGATGAGCTTGGTGTTGCCAAAGTGACTGATTTTGGTCTTAGTAAGATAGTCGAGGATGATGTGGGATCCCAAGGTATGGAACTTACATCTCAGGGAGCTGGAACATATTGGTAAGTGGTGAAAATCTTTGTTGGAATCCAAAATTTTTAGTCCAAATTTGTAGGTTTTAAGCTCCACTCTCCGTAATCTTTGATTCTCCTTTTTATGTTTCCTTGAGATTCCAATGTTTACTTTGGTAAAACCTCTTTATACATTCTTTTTTTCACGTTTCAATTTGCAGGTATTTGCCTCCTGAATGCTTTGAGCTCAGCAAGATACCTCTTATATCATCAAAGGTCAATAATTTACTAAGTTGTAAATACATGGATAACTTTTATTTGTTGTTGTTATTCTCACTCCATGTGAGTGTCATGATGGTTGGGATTATGCAAACAACTAAGTCTTGGATAATCACCTTACATTTTTCTTTTTGCAATTGTCTTGTATTTTGTAACCAATTGTGGTAAACACAGGTTGATGTTTGGTCTGCTGGGATTTTGTACTATCAAATGCTCTTCGGTAAACGTCCTTTTGGGCATGACCAAACACAAGAGAGAATACTTCGTGAAGATACAATTATTAAGGCACGCAAGGTTGAATTTCCTTCTAGACCTACCGTATCTAACGAGGCAAAGGTGAGTAGCACCCTTTCTCATAATTGCTGGCCCCAAGGCTTATTTTTCTTGGCTTTATTTCATTTATTCATTTTAGGGTATTAACGAACGCCCCAAGTGTACTGATTGAGGAATCAATAAATATTTTTTTTCGTTGGAAATCATGGTAAAAGTGTATAAATAATACTTTTTAATTAAAACTTTCCCCTTATGATTTCTAAACCAATGCATTTGCGCTTTATTTTATTCTAGTATTCAGTGATGGTCACAACTTTGCTTCTTGTAAGGTTATATTTATGGTAACTTTATTCCATATGCAAGTGTAAGTAGGTTGTTTCCATTATAGGACTACTTATATTTAGTTTATAGTTTCTGTATTTAACTAAAGAAAGAAAATAGTACCTAGTATCTACAATATTGTCAAACCTGACAATTATCTGTTCTGTATCTACAATTTTTTGTCAGGATTTTATTCGGAGGTGTTTAACATATAACCAGGCTGAGAGACCAGATGTATTAACCATTGCCCAAGACTCATATCTCACTTTCTCAAAGAAGTAGTGACATTGATTTGCATGGCTTCCTTATCCAGATTCCACAGAGAAAGAATGGAGGGTCTCATCTTCTAACTTCAGTTACTGATCATATGCTAAATTTTGTATAGGTTGTAAAGATTTTGTAATCTTGTTAATGAGGCAGAGAGGGTTTTTCCCCATTGTGAAAGAAAGTCCAGTAGTTGTCTTCATGCACCATATTTTGGTTCAAGAGCAAATGGCATGTGGGTTTGTTTTGACTTTAAAAAGGATCAGGAAGTATAGGTACTCTGAAGTGAGAAATCTTTAGTTGATTTTTTAATACTCTTGCTCCCAAATATAGGATTTTAATGCGTTTTGATTGGTACTTTATCTTCTGTTTTTTTGTTTACTACAATATTTAACCTTGTCAAGTTCATTTCTTTGTAGGGTGAATTGCACTCGTAGAGCTGCAAATAACACTTGGTTTCACCGTAGAAAACAATTTCATCAATGAAGTTAAATACTTGACGAAGTTAACGTCTAATTTGCGTGTTACTTGAAAGAAAAATATAAGTGAGAAAATTGATAATGTTTTCTAGGTTAATTAGAGGCATGGATTTTCGTTCTTCTGAAAGAATCATATTAGCGCATTAGATCGTATATTCAACCGAGATTAAATGACGGGAAATATCGGTTGAAAATTGTTTCATGAAGATCCAACATAAAATGGAAGTTGAGCGTGTTGATAATAATCTGTGGAAGTAACAATTAGACAATTGGATAATTTGATATATTAATTTGACAAATTTAAATTAACACTAGAAGAAAAAAAAAATAAAAAAAGGTATAGCAAATCAAATTTGTTGCGTCAGTCAAAATTTTAATTATTCATAAGCTCTCATAAATATAAAAGAGTTCAACAGTCTTACCTTAAATATAAACACGGGTTTTACAAGTAAAAAAAATTAAAGTTTTAAATTAATCCAATCTAAACCATCGATTACTTAATTTTAGAAAATGTATAACTCTTTGGTTCTACGGATAAAACATTGGGTTGTGTTGATATTTGATGATTGAAGAAACCCTGCACGCATTTAACGGATAGCCCATATGATACTTAGAGAAAGAGGGAAAAAAAAAGGTGAAAATGTTAACATTTTCATAATTATAATTATTTTTGAAAAAAAAATCAAAATGCATAATTATTTTACTACTTTTCTTTCTTAGAAGCTGAAAAGAATAACTTCTAAAGAATTTTAAAACAATACCATGCATCTTTCTTAAAACACAGACAAACAATTGTTGAGTTAGATAGCCCACTTCTGCAAGTCGAGAAACTTCATTCACAAAAATGCATGTTTGGCGGGCAATTATTTATTAGATGTGGTTTTTTTTCCTTTAAAAAGAGCTAAGAAAAAAATATAAATACTTCAAAATAAATAATGACATCTCATAAGTCAAATTAAGAGATTATTGAAATAAGTTCTTCTTAAGAAATTGGTTAATAGTGAAGCAGTTGCATTCATTTTTATGCCACGTTGAAATTTAGATAAAAAATGTATTTTCATGCCCGTATAAAGGACATCCACGTGAATTAAAATTTCAACCGTGGACATTAGATGATGTTTAACTAATTTTACATAACTAAAATTTTAATTTTTCACTTCATTAATTTTAAAAATAAAATTATTAAGTTTTCATTATTTCAATTGTAAATAAATAAATATTTTAAAAAATTAATAAGATGAAAAAGAGAGATATTCCCTATCCCTTGCAAGCCAATTTGGAGAAAAGTATTTCGTAATGAATGTCATATAAATAACTTTTATTTTTCATATCAACTAAATAATAAAAACTTAGTATTTTTGTCTCATTTCTATTTCCTTTTACTTCATTTCCACACAGCCGCGTTAAATAAAAATCTTTTTCCACTATGACCAACAGCTATCTGGGTATCCGTATGTAGTTTACTTTCGAGTAAAAATATAAATTTTGATGGCAAAATGGAAACAGAATAAAATTCAACATGCAACTAATCTAGATACTCTTTCAGCATCGATCAAAATTAGCTTTACTCTGTTCCCCGTCAGAAGCAGTAAAATCAAGGGGCTCTTCTAAAAATAAATATTTTGAAATTGTGTAAATATATTTATATAAAAGGACCTAACTGCCTGTTTCTGTTGGTATTTTCGGTTTATGTGACCTCTTCCTTTTCCTACTTCTCTTCGCTGCGTTGTCTCCTTTTGTTTCCTGCAAAAGAGCAACAACTAATGAGCGTGGAACAAATAACTAGGAAATAGAATTTATCGTTCAGAGGATTGTAAAATTAATTTAAAATATATAACAAAGTAGCTGAAGCGTACTACCGCATTTTAGAATTTGCTCACAACACCAGAACAAACAATAAGAATTAAGAACTATATACTTGCATCAATATCAAAATTGTTTTATGGTGCTCCAAAACAGCTAATAATGTTCTGACAGTGCAGAAAACATTGCAGTGGTGGTGGATTAAATTCAAACTCGTAGTTTACTTGTTTTTGGCATATACACCACCATGGTTGTCAAATTATCAATTGTAAGTTTCATGATCAATTGATAAAAATAGCATAAATTATATTGTTAACATGTGTACACTACAAACATCTAGAATATTCGCATTTTGTATTTTAAAAACTCATTATGTAGCCAAGAAGTCGTAATCTAAACTTCAGAATAAATCAAGATTCAAGTCGAATGGTCAAAAAACCTAGGTAAAATGATTCGAAGTATGGTATGCATCTGAATGGCTGTGATCCACAAATCAAACTCGTTCAATGATATTAAAATATATGATGGAAGCTTTTACACAGATGGTGGTGAATCAAAATAAAATCCTAAGTTTACAAGCCAAGTTTTTATGATAGAAACCTGGTACTTTATTAGAAATAAAAAGAGATTTCCACCCCTCAATACAATGCTTAACCTGCAGAATTTCAACAGTATGTACCTCCCAATTTCCAAAGCTCCCAATTCTCTCACAAAAGACAAACCCCTCTTCCTATTTGTATACAGCTAATGGTCTGCTAACATAAACTCATACTCAATATACCTAATCAGTTGCAGGCCCATTCCCATTCTTTCTAACATAACTGCTAACTGACACTATCAGTTTGTGTTCAAATCGAAAAAACATAAATTTTGCTCACACTACCTTCAAAGGACCAATATTTTGGTTTTCACTTTTCTTCTTCTTGCACGAAAGTGGGTTTGGACCCTGCAGAGTTTAAAAGCAATATCATAAAAATATGAGAATATTAAATGAAAACCATAAGCTGCTACAAGTAATAAAGCTTTACTCATGTTAATTAAAACTAGTGTTGAATTTAAGTTAAATTGTAAATTAACTTCGGCATCTTTCTACAAAAATATGCGAACATGTTATAGAATGTCTATGATTCATATTTTGAAGGGTGTATATCTATTTTTTTCCTACAGATTTCGTTTACTTAAGTTAATCACAACTATAAAAAGGTAAAAGCTATAAACCTAGAATATGGTAACCAAAACTCAAGCTAAGAGACAGATACAGCACAAGGGTAAATTATAACCTTGGCTCTTTTTCTCTTGAACTGAGGTTTATCCTTGATTTCCATCCGATTCCTTGTAGTAATATTCTTTTTTACTGCCTTCACATTTATGGTCTGATCTTCTGAATCCACATTTTCCAGTATTTCAGTATTGGAATTGTCAGCTTGCTCACCAGCCAATCTATTCATCACCCTATCCTTAAATATCTGGTACTCTTTGACAGTCATATGCAATCGTCCTTCTTCAGAAGTTTTGACATATTGCCGCTGAAATGCAGATGGAGGTTCAAGGAAAAGAGCATTTCTGAGACCATATATGAGAGGCACACCAGGCACCTGCAACAAGCAGATCAGGAAGAATAAATGTATGTCTGAGAGTACAATTCTACACATCTTTGCATCACTATAAAGGCACTTGGAACAAATTTTAGACATAAATAACCAAATATTTTCAAGTTTTTCTTTTAATGAGCAAAGCACCATACTCATTTAGAAAATGTCAAGAGAAGTGCATAGAGAACACGTAATATGGTAAATCACTTATGGCACAAATAGTGAACCCTGGCGGAAGACTGACAAATGAAACAGCCATTTAAAGTTCATAAAGTGACAAACCAGAAATGAAAAGAACATGGGATACACATCAAGACAAGATGTTAAATAATTTTCTATTCAACCATTCTAATGAAAAAATAACTACTATAAATGCTCTACACTTCTTTCAAGCCAAAATTAAACATGAGACAAGATGGACATATTGTCTATTGAAAGCTAGTGGATGACTCAAAAAGTAACACCATGTTGGGGATGTTTCACACATTTAGGCAACGTGATGCAATCACAATAGGTTGAATAGGATTAGAAATAGGAGGACGAAAGAAATGGATCAGATTATACGAGGTGTTTATGGACATAAAATCTCCATCACTAGATCTGTATCAAAGAGAACAAAAGATAAGAAATGAGGGTACGGAGATACACTAAACAAGATAGTGTTTCCATGTTTCCCCACACTTCAACCAGAGCAACTATTTTAAAAAATTGTTTTAATTTTGGGTCTTACCAACAATTCCATATTCAAAATGTTAGGTTGGACAAGGCACAAGCTCTCTAAGATTGTTATTTAACTGCCAATTAAATACCAAGCTCATCAACTGCACCAGCATTCATCAATCGGTAACCCAAATTCCACAGATAGAAACATTAAATTGATGTTCAATTAAAATCCACCACATCTCACTAACCAAGGTTTTCAGATAAATGGCTTTTCCCAGTTAATGAGTTTCAACGAACTTTAGATGTTAAATACAACGAAAAGATACTCGTAAAACCTATCTTTCAGAGTATAAATATAAATCAATTTTTAAATTATCAAAATAAGTTTGCTGTCAATAACCTAATAATATCTAGATAAATCTACAGGTAGGAGATATTATTTCAGGCTGAATATCATTCAAAAATATAGTTCATCATTATACAAACTTTACTATAATTACAAAGAAAATATTAAAAAGAAAACATATCTAACCGTTGGAACCAACATTTAAAAAAAAATATATATCATACAAACCTCTTGCAACTTTTTCCGCAGGTCAGTGTCCTGACTAGCAATAAAAAAATGCTCAGAATTTTTTTCTCCTACAACCTCCATGATGCAAGAATCAGCACTCACACATTTATCATGCTCACATCTGCAAATTGGAGTAAAAATCAAAGTAACAACCACTGCCCCAGCAATACCAGCACTCAAATATCTTAAAACCCAAAAACATAAAACAACAAAGAATTCATTTAAGGTGCATTACCTTGCAACTATAAGTTTATGAGCTGCCTCAAGAGCCTCGGAATACAAGCTACCAAGTCGTTTCAACTCAGCTTGAACACATCTGCAGCATCTCCATCCAATGCCCACATTAACAATGATAATAAAAATAACAAGTGGATCCAAAACGAAACAAGAAACAATTTCTAGCACCTAGGCTGAGCTGAGAAGGAAATCTAGTTTAAGGTCATGTTTGGATAAATTTTTCTAAAATCATTTTTAGGAGTAAAAAAATGAAAATAAATAAATAAAATCCAAAAGTTAAAATTAACTTATTCATTGGCTAATTTGTAGAAATTAAGCCATATTAGCTTCTCTAAAATATATTTTCTATCTTATGTATAAACTAATTTAATTTTATAGAACTATTTGACTTTCATTCATATTTTTTCATCGTAAGTGTTTCTGGAACAATTTATCCAACAGATTTTAACGTCCTTAGTGTGTGTGAGAGAGAAATAGGACCTAGTCGTGTAGAGCTTAACAGTGGCACTGAGGATATTGCCAAGAGCCGTGTCAGCGGGGGTTATTCGATTCACAAGAAGGTGATTCACAAATGTTCCATCACATAAAACCTTGAATGGCTTCCGAAAACCAAAGCAAGCAGTGTAAAACGTCAAAATCTTCCTATGCCTCTTCTGCTTTTTCACCTTCATCTGCAACAATCCAATCTTAGTTAAACCATTTTTTTTTTAATTAAACCTACAAGTTGAGAAAATAAATTCAGAGGCTGAAAACGAACCTGTGCGAGAACGGTGAAGGGTCAATTCGTTTGTGTGATTAAGGAAGCGCGATTACCGAACTTCGATGGAAAATAAATTTCAACACGCCAGGGAAGAGTGAGCAAACGCTAGCAGCGGGAGAGAAGAAGAGAAGTTATTGCTGTATGCCTTACACAAGCCTATAATGGGCCCACCGAACCCGGTCGATATTGGGCTGCTCTCTCGAGTTGGGCCGAACCACTTAGCAATTCAATTGATGTAGGCCCATGATACTCTCAATTCTACTAGGCTGATGATATATACACCTCCATTTTTTTATACATACACCCCCTTTTTTTAAAAAAAATATTAAATTCCTAAATTATCCTTAATATTATTTGGAATATAAAAAAAATTATCCTGGAAAGTTTTTTTCGGAGGTCTATTTGTACATAATTATGGAAAGTTTTTTCCGAAATACTAAAATTACTATTCCAAAAATGACTTTCCGTCGGAATAATTCTGGAAAGTACTTTCCGTAACACTAAATTACTATTGTGGAAAGTTCTTTCCGGAATTATGGCAACAAATAAACACTGTTAATATTCCTGAAAGAATTTTTCTCAATAGTAATTCCAGTGTTACGAAAAGTATTTTCCATAATTATTTTGACGGAAAGTTATTTCCGGAATAGTAATTTTAGTATTTCGGAAAGTACTTTCTATAATTATTCTGACGGAAAGTTCTTTTCGAAAGGCTCATGATATATACACCTCCTGTTATTTTTTTATAAGTACACCTTCTTTATTTTCTTAAAAAAATTATAAAATATTATATATATATTTTTTAATTTTATACCTTTAACTTTCAATATTCTACTTTTTTCTTTTTTTTTCACACATTTTTTTTTCTCTTTCAATTTTTACATGCTACCAAAATAGGTGGGGTGAAGGAAAGATAACGGGGTGCATGTAAAAATTGAAAAAAGAAAAAAAAGAAAAGAAGAAAGATCTGTAAAAAAAAGTACTAAATTAAATGTTGTGAATGTAAAATTAAAAAAAAAGCAAAAAATTAAGAATATTTTAAAATTTTAATTATTTTTTTTGAAAAGGAGGTGTACTTATAGGAAAAAAAGGTATATATATCATCAACCTTTGAAAAACACTTTTTCAGAATAATTTTTTTTATTTCAAATAATATTAAGGATAATTTAAGAATTTAATATATTTTTTTAAAAAGGAGGTGTATTTATAAAAAAATGGAGGTGTATATATCATCAACTCGTCTAGTATTCCAACACCTCAACTCTTTTTTTTTTTTTTTTAAATCCTGATACACAAGTCTTTGGCTCAATGACAGTGATGTCAGTGTAGAGTGTAGACTATTACTAAATTATCTAATGTCTCCCTGTTGATATATTTTCTTTTAAGATTTTTTTTTACTTTAAATAATTTTGTATAATAATAATTTTGAATAACAACTTAAAAACATTTTTATGACGTATTTTACGAAAGTGACCCTGTTTAGGAATTTTTCTTCAAATAAGGCATTTTCAATATTCTTTTTAATATCTTGTCTTTTACTATCTATATTTTTAAATTAACTTTGTTAATATCAGCTAAAAATAGAATATAAACTTAAACTACAATTTTTATGTTCACATATTTACTTTTCATGGATTTTAATTAAATATAAAGATAGTATTAAAAATAAAAATAAATCAAAGTGAACCATTCAAAAAAAAACATTGTATAAAAAAAGTGATAAAATGAAACAAATCATACATTTCTACCTTGTCTCCATGGCTAGAACTTGGAGCATCACTTTCACACCGGTCACTGGGGTTGTAAATTATTTCCTTCCTGCATATGGTGCTTATGCTCTTGTCTATGATGAATGACTCCTTTTCATGGCAGTTGACATGCTGGATCTTAGGCATTGAAATTTTATCACCATCACTTTAGTTTATAAGATCATCTCCAATCTATATCTAATTTTTTTTATCCATCTAAAAAAATCATTGAACTTTTATGTCAATTTTTTGTGGATTTTTTTATTACATAAGATTTAAGAACTCTCGTTATTTTTTACTTTAATGGCAGAACACAATTTTGACTTTTTTACTTATTCTTAATGTTTTAATAAAGGACCTCACATTTGTATATCTTTATTTATTTTTGTTTCATTTTAAATTAGACAAATGTTTTTTTTTTTTTTTTTCACCAAGCGTGACACTGAGAAACACTTTTGTGGACACAATTACAAAAGTAATATGGTAGACACGTCCAACAAGAGTCTGACAACGCATTAAAATATATAGTTATAATGTATTAAATTAAAATAAAGATTAAAATTTTCTCCAATTTTTTAGAGGCCCCTAACCATCTGATTGCCCCATGTTTTTTAAGACAAGAAGATTATCTTCTTCAAACCATTGCATCTTTTTCATCCGGTGTGCTTCCGATGGAGTAGGGACAACGAGGAAACCAGTTCAAATTATTAAAAATAGTGTTTATATTTGTTGAATGATGATAATATACACTAACTTATATGGACGCACATGCTATGATGAAGAATATAATTTTATTATTTTTTAAAAAATATGTTTTATATCACATTTGAAGTATTTTAAATAATTAATCATAAAAATAAAAAATAAACAAAAATATAGTTACTAAAATTTTTATTTTCAATATCTTAATTTCATTGGTTCTTTTTGTAAAAATTGGTTCTTATAATATTTTTTTTACAAATAATGTTAAAAAAGAGAAATACCTAATAGCACCTGCAGCCCAAATTAAAGAACATCAATAAAAATCAAATAACACAAGAAGACAAGGGCAATTTAAAAAATAAAAAGAAAATGGAAGGGAAATAAATAAAATGAAAGGAAAAAGTAGAAAATTATAAATTTATGGCCTCTTCCAACATTGTATATTTGTCGCCTCCTCCCACAACTAAAGGAAATAAAATGGTAAAAAAAAAGCAAACGTAAACTGAAAAAAAATTAAAAAGGGAAATTCATAGATTTGTCTCCACCACTGTAGATTCGGCAATTTTTAAATCATATTTTTTAATTTTAAATAAATTGACCAAAATTCAACAAAGAATGAGAATGAGTTTAGTTATTTATTTATTTATTTAATTTTTTTACTCTATCTATTGTAAATCCGACCCTAAACTTGTTCCGGCTCTTTAGAAACCGAAGTGAAAAAAGAAAACTAAATTCACTCCATTGCCATAACTAGACAGGAAGAAAAAAAAAAAAACATAAAAATCTTTTTCTTATAATTTGCCGCTTTTTTCTTTTCCCATTCCCTCCACGTCCGCTAGAACCGAGTGGTGCCAAAGTTGACTCGAAACGAAACTCATTAAGCCCATTAAACCAACACACAAAGCTTCAACTTCAATTTGGTTACTTCATCCACACTGAATTTTCTCTGAGGTACTCTCTTTCACTCTCTAACCACTCCCAACGACTCTTAATCCAATAAATTCTTTCTTCGTTTGTTCTGCAATTCCTCTTCTCACTCTCTACGATTTTCAACTTCTCTTGAAACCCTAACACCATTCACGACACTGATTTATTTAAATATCTTATTCTCCTACTCGATTTCTCAGCTGAAACGTGAAGGCACTCTTTATACCCTGGTTTCGACCTAGATTTCTCATCACGGTGGTGTGTTTTCTGGTTTGAAAGCCAAATTGCCTTGGTTCTGTGTTTTCCGGTTTGAAAAGCCGAATTGCCCTGTTATTCAGAGCGTGCTTGCTTCTATATCGTTGTTTGACTGTTTCATAATCAGGACGCGTTGGAAATCAGGTATTTTCATCTCCGAGTTTACAATAGGTACAGTACCTTAGTTTGAATATGCTCAGCTGTATTTTTTAATCCTGTTGCGACAGTGATTTGAGAAAGCATGTACAGTACTTTGTGTTGAATTGTTACTGATATATATATGAGCATGCTCATGGAGTGGTTTTTTATTTGCTCATGTTGTAGGTAGGGTAATGACACTTTCAACATGTACATCAAGCAGGTAATTGCACTTTGAATTGCATTTATTTATTTAATTTTGTGAACAACTTCCGTGACCTAAATTACTAGAGTTGGTAGATCATAGTCACGTAATTCGTTCATTATGGTAGACTACTGCAAATTGGTTTTGTGGTTCTTTTTCGAAATGGGACAATACATGTATACAAACCATTATATTCTATGTGCTTTTTCAAAAGTGATCAAAGTGAAAGAAATATCTACATCACACTATTATATATTATATTCACCAAAAAAATTAGATATTAGTAAATATGACAATTTGTTGCTATTTACCAATATCTAATTTTTTGGTTTTTATAATATATAATAGTGTGATGTAGATATTCCTTTCACTTTGGTCACTTTTTAAAAACACTTAGAAGGTAATGTTTTTTTAGTATAGGCTGTCAATTTGTATACCCTCAATTAATTCATGAGGAAGACAAACCAGAAAAGACAGGAACGAGGTAGACAAACCAGGAAAGATGGAAACATTGCAGTTCTGAACATAAAAAAATCTCATTTGAGCTTCATGAGATAAAACACTTGTGAAGTACTGCGGTCACATCTTCTCTTTTGGAACTTGAACAACATGGTTTGAATGAAATAAAAAAGAAAAGTAAAAACAAAAGAGAGATGGAAATGATGTGAGAAAAATAAAATAAAAGTGAGAGCAGACTTATTAATGCAGCAGGAAGAGATAAGGGAAAAAGAAAACTGAACACATACAAGAAAACACAAAACAACTGAGGATAATTTTTTTTTCTTTGGTACATCATGGAAATGATGTAAGGAGTCTGTGTTGGTTTAAAAAATTATATATTTTATTTGTAATAAATTTAAGAGTTAATTATTTTAATATTTTTTTTATAGTTATTCATCATTTTTTTGGTAAAAGTAATATAGGTGAAATTTTAATTAAAAAAATGAAATCACTTACAAAAATAACTTTATTTATATTTATATATTACAATCTACTGTAAATTTATATAGCATATTGATATTGAAGCATATCAACTGTGTATACCTTGCATACCAATACTTTGTGAGATTGTGTACCCGTAGCATATTGTGAATTGTGTGACTATGTGGTAGATAGTGTTCCTGCATTATGATTCATAAACACTTACCTTCTTTCAGACACCCTATAGTATATGATCTATGATGTTATTTGGATTTCAGAGTTGGTTCCTTGCTGAATTTTCTTATGATGTATTTGTTTGTGTGTTTTTAGGTTGTGATTGAAGGTTTCAAGAGTTACCGAGAGCAAATTGCCACAGAGCCTTTCAGTTCTAAAGTTAATTGTGTTGGTAATAGTTTTACTGAAAAGCATTTATATGTTTTCTAGTTTCTTCTATTGATACCGGAAAATCCTTTGAAATGCATGATATGGGCTTTCATTCATGACATGTAATGATGGTAGGTAAATGAAGCATGAAGTTGAGGCAATATAGAATAAGTTGTTAAGTCAAATTTTATTCAAATTCAAATATATTTGCTCACACTACATACACCCTAATAATACTTTCATAATAATAAGTCATATTTGCCATCAAAAGTTGTAAATTGTTTTGTTGCAAATAGGCATATAATCATAATACTTCATATAAGACCAAAACTGTATTCTATGTTGTGATCTTAAAAACATTTCATCACATATGATGGACAACATGTACTTATTCTTGAAAATCCTGCCATTTATCCCCAACTCCAACCATAACACAAAGTAACTGCAATATATAGTTTTACATCAAGCTAAAGGCTGCGTACATAGTTTTGGCAGGGCTGCATTCTTTACTCATTATGTTGTCTTCATTTTCATTACTTCTTTAGTTCTTTTCACTCTAATGCATTCTTACTTTTTCTTTAATTACATTTCTTTTGATGTAGTTATTTTTAAAGATGAATTTCCAACTTTTCCGCATCTAAATTGTATTTTTTTGTAACATTTACAATGTCTGTTCAATTATTTATTTTTGCAGTCGGTGCTAATGGATCTGGAAAGACAAACTTTTTCCATGGTAAGAAAATCACCATTTCTTCTACCTGTATAACTTTATTTATTGTCTGCCAGTTAGTCTTTGGAAGTAACTGAAATCAAATATCTGACCTTCAATTATCACCTTCTCTCTTTTGTAGCGATCCGTTTTGTATTAAGTGATCTCTTTCAAAACCTACGCAGTGATGATAGGCATGCACTACTCCATGTATGGCACAGTTCATCCATTTATTTAGACTTCTGATTCTTACCTATTACTAATCAATTATAAAGTTTGAATATGCTTAAATAAGTGATTATTTGCACAGGAAGGAGCTGGACATCAGGTTTTATCTGCGTTTGTGGAGATTGTGTTTGATAATTCAGACAATCGTATCCCGGTAATATATTGAGGATAGTAATTTTATTTTTTCCAGTAAGCGCACAAGGAGGATGATTTCCTGCATTTTTGAACAATTGCATTCTAAAAAAATTATTTTTGCACTTATGCATATTTTATTGTAGGCACGAAAAAAACCAAAATACTATTATCTTCTTTTATTGTACATAATAAAATGTATCCTAAATTGCATGATTGGCATGGTGAGAAAAATGTGACTTTATTTGGCACTTATCCCTCAGTGAAAGCATAGACTGTCTAGAGGCTGCTATAGGGCATGTTCAGATGAATTTTACTAAACAATGATCCTTTTTTTATGTTGGTATTTTTAAACTATCAATCTTTACCTTTTTGACTGGTGGATGGTTGGATTTTTATCCTTTGTTGTTCAACGAATGTATTTATGCTGCTCAATTTTTGTACAGAAAGGAGGCTGTAGACAAAGAAAGAATCTAATAACATATAATTTTTGTGTATAACTGAATGAAGACTTGATAATAGATCAGTATTATGTTTTTATTTATTTTTTTATTTTTTTATCTCTACACCATTTTTAACTTATTTGTTTTCTATTTTGAATAAAGTTCTTCTCTTTCCATTTTTGAAAGTCTTTGGCATTGATCTTGGGGATTCTGATGGTGCATACTTTCTGCTAGCTGATTAGTTATTTGATTACTGATATGGTGCTTTGCAGTGTTTTGGTTTCACTGAATTGTTACAATACAATTTCAATTTCAATAACTTTTTATTATTTATTTATTTATGTATTTATTTATTTTTATTTATTTTTTTTTATGTTGACAGCTATATCTTGTTATAAGTGCTTGTTGAGTGTAATAATTACATTGCTTCGAAACAGTTCTCTTTTTTACTTTCTTTATCACATCAAAAGTGCTGTATGTTTGATAACCACCTATTTCTGATATTCCTACCTATTCCTTATCTGTGTTGGTGAATAGGTTGACAAGGAGGAAGTGCGCTTGCGCCGGACTATTGGTTTGAAAAAGGATGAGTATTTTCTAGATGGAAAACACATAACGTGAGTGATAAAATTACTGTTAGAGCATATACTATTTTTCACTTCAGAGAAAAAGGACATATTTTGTCTTATGCTCTTTGGTCATATGAGAATTTACCTTGATCCTAAAGATGATGCATGATCTGCAGAAAAACTGAAGTGATGAATTTACTGGAGAGTGCTGGGTTCTCTCGATCAAATCCTTATTATGTTGTACAACAAGGAAAGGTATCGTGCCGACAGTGCTTGAACTTGGTTTGGGATTTATCTTTGTTAAAATCATAAACTTTGAAGTTGATTGCTGAACTTGTTCCATTTCTATATTGCATAGATAGCATCACTAACCTTGATGAAAGACTCTGAACGACTGGATTTGCTGAAAGAAATAGGTGGTACCAGAGTTTATGAGGAGAGACGTCGTGAAAGTTTGAAAATAATGCAGGAAACAGGCAAGTTTATGCTTTATTTATTTTAAGTTCTTCATTTTCTTGTCTTTCCTATTTATTTTTGAAGTTCATGATTTGTAAACTAAATATAATACTATAGTTCTACTAAAATTACCACATGACATTTTCTCTTAATTGTATTTTTAATTTTTTTTTTAATTTATTACTTTTTTTTATTAACTTTATATGTTTATTTACCTTTTGTGTTTTCAACCTTTAGCATTTTTTTTACTGAACTTTAGTATGAACTTGGAACATATATTATGAATCAATCCTTGCCAAGTGTAGGTAAGTATAATGTATTTTTTTTTTTATCAATATATATATATATGTGTGTGTGTGTGTGTATTGAGTACATAGTGTTAGAGCTGTCAAAATGAGCCATCCAGCCGTAGTATGGGTGGGCCAACTCAACTCAAGTACTTGATTGACTTTTTGGTGAGCCTATAAAAAATGAACCCGGCCAGGCCCAACATGGGTTGATGGGTTAAATGGGTTAGTTCATTCAAAATACAATAAAAAAAAACTGATTGGACTTAATAAAAAAATACCTCCTATAGTCTTATATCTTAGAATTTACGTGTTAACAATAGAACCAAAAGTTGTCAAAAAAGAAAAGTAGTCACAACCAACTTAATCAACTTATAATATCAAATAATATAAAAATAGTGACAAGATATTAACAAATACTATTAAATTGACACTAACTATCATAATTGTAATTAGTATGTATAAAATTCGGTCAATGTTATAAATATAAAAAAAAGTAAACTAAGTGTGCCAACTCGGCACTGTGGTGAGCTGGGCCATGTTTTTCTTAAAATCGAAATAGCAAAGTTTTTTGGGTCCAATCCGACTCAAACCTATGTTGGATTGGGTTGACCCACGGATTCTGGCTCATTTTGACGACTCTTTAATGTAATTTGAGAAATATAATATCAGATAAACTTGACTCTAATACTGCAACTCTTTATTTTTTAAGATTGAACTATTAATTTCTTCCTTCAAATATTTACTTAAAGTTGATTTAATCCTCTAAATATTTGTGCTGTTAAGTTCTTCCAATCAAGTATTAAAATCATAAAAAGTTATTATTTTTATTTGTTAGGTGAGAGACTTATTTGACATTGTAAATTTTTAATAACTAAATATCAAATAAATTTTGAATGTACTAAATAAGTAGTTTATTATTTTCTTAATAGGTATTTTATAGTAATCTATTTATTAAAATATATATATTTAAATAAAATTTAACTTAATATTATCATTATTAGTGAATGATTAATAATATGAGAATTAAATTATGCATATCTTATTAATTCATGCATCACATATTCACATTGGTGAAAAATCTAGTGTTTATCATTCTTTTTATTGATGATGGTATTCTCATGCATTTTTCTGTTAGACAGGTAATAAAAGAAAGCAAATAATCCAAGTTGTACAGTATTTAGATGAAAGGTTGAAGGAACTAGATGAGGAGAAGGAAGAACTTAGAAAATATCAGCAGCTTGACAAGCAGAGGAAATCCTATGAATATGCTATTTATAGCAAAGAAGTTCAAGATGCCCAGCAAAAGCTGACAGAGGTTATGAGTTAAATGTTATCTCTTGTATAATTATTTGTGTGATTTATTTGTTTTTTATTCATTGGATTTACTTTTTGATGATTGGGTAGTTAGTCACTGTAATTTTGGTGATGATATATTCTTCTGGTTCTTAATTTTGTGGTGTGGTTCAAAATCACAACTATATCACTGGAAATAATGCACTGGAAGTTTAAATAAATTCTTATGAATACCTCATATATGTTTTCAAATAATATTTGGTTTGATTAAATAGATGGAATAGGAAAAATTAAGTACCTGGGGGAGGCCACAAGCAGATACGTTGTTGCAAATAGGTTGGTTTAAAAGCTGGAGTAAAGTAATGGCATTGGGAAGATAGAAGCTAGATCCTAGAGTTTAAAATGCGCTTGACACAATAGAAGTAACAAATTCATGATATTCCAACTTACCTGATGGCTCCTAATATGCCAGGTGAGAGGGAGACTACTGAAAACATCTATTTCTCAAAGCTAGTTAGGGTAATGGTTATTTATTCTGCTGGCAAAGCTTCTGATCTTGTTCTAAAAGAAATGATGCTAGCCCTGTGAGTGTGAGGTTTCTTGTAAAACTGCCAAGGTCTCTAATATAATTTGTTGATGGCAACTATAGACAGAATGTGCACCCATTTACAATCGTATGAGTGTACAACTAATTCTAGCATACACATAAGGTGAATCAGTAATTTCTCTTAATTTTCCTCCCATTTTAGTTGATATCTAACAGTGCACAAATCACTGCAAGTTTTAAATCTGTGTGTTTAGAAATGGAAATTCCTCAGGTACCAAACACAGGGTGTTGCTGCATTGCAGGGTATAGCTGACAGTGATCACTCTTGAATGCTAGTTGTGTTGTGGTTTGGCATAATGCCTGTTGTGGCCTTGATAACAGCTGTCCATGGCAAATATTTGCTGGCTGTAGTTGCCATGGTTCTTCTCAGGGTCAAAATCCCAGTATTGTCCACACTAAACCTTTGCTTTGTTCAGTATTGAGGGAAAAATGTTGCAATTCTAAACCCATTTTAGACTTAAATCCTTTATTCAACCAGCATTGTTTTGGCAAGTTCTCACTTCTTAGCCCCTGTTGCCTTGTTTTTGATCAACTGCTGCCACTTCCTTATTCTTTGCAGCTTCTTGTAGATCCTTCTGATTAATGATGGTGTCTATTTTTTTGAGTGAACCTAGTGTCCCTTGATCAGAAAACTAAGGACTAATTTTGCTAGATACTGAGATCTATTTAGGGGCCAACTTCTCCTAATAAATTTCTTACAAACACACAGACCTGAGGATTGAACCCCTGGTGAAGGTGTCTTTAAGCAATGGCTTTAGAGTGTTAATGTTAAACATGCCTGTAAAATTAAATAATAGTGTCTTTAAGTACCTACATGTTTGATGAGAAATTATTTGCATTGTATCTGCGATATTTGGTATAGTGATCAGCTGCTTCACAATCTGCTATACCATTATAGGTTGCATTTGTTTCAGGGAATGATAAATGATGTTACATTCCTATGAATAAGGTATTTGGGAATGATATTTCTGAAAATATATTATTCTATCATGGTTGTTGAATTGAGAAATAAATTGTGTAGCGGAAAGTGTATTTTCTGAATAGTGAATCGTGGGATTCATGATCAATAATAAAACATTAACATATATTAGTAGCATATATGCTTCAAGACAAACAAAAATACGAATAATAACAGCCAACACCAACCCTCAGATTCTATGGGTCGCTCTTCTTCAAGAGCAAGATAGAAAATGAAATAGAAGAGTGGAGAGGTGAAAATGTGCTAGCTAGCAAGTGGGCCATGCTGGGTGTTGTTGGAGGGAAATGATCAGCACCCTCCCTTTCTTTTTAGGGTTTTGATAACTGGGTTGTGTATGACTGACCCAGATTGGGGCGTGGCCTGCTTGGTCAGAATTGTTTGATTCACACTGAAATTATGATGAGCAATACATGTGATTTGATTTTCAATTCACGCACAAGAACAATTCTTCATGTTATTTGTATCACCAGTATGCTAAATCGTATCGAATTGCATGATACGATTTTTAGTATCTTGTATGATTTAAAAACTTATTCCTATGAATATGCAATTTTAAGGCAAAAGTATCCCTTAAAAAGACTTTTTTTTCTCCCACTACTCACTATAACCACCCATTACCCATTCTTGTAGGACTTCAATCTTCTCCATGGGACTAAATTATACACATCTCTCACAATGGGAATGACTTGGCGGAAACAATGCTCTGAACAAACAACGAGAATAATTTTTAGATGGAAATATTATTTCAATACTTGAAACAAACGTTGGAATGTTATATACCCATCTCAACCTTCTCAAGAATGTAAATCTAAACAAATGCTCCCGTTGTGTTTTCAGTGTCTAAGTTTAATTACTTTGGCAATTGGTCCATAAATCTATTGGGTATTAAACTGACATGTTAGGTTGGGACAAGTGTTGGTACAATGTTAAATACAAAAGTGTGTTAATTTGTGTGTTGAATAGTGTTATCAATACCGGATATTCTGGGCTAGAACACTACTGTGTTGTGGGTTTCAGCGGAAACCTAATTGCATCACTATTGTGTTGTGGAGTCCGCAATAAAGGCAATTGTGGCCATCTTATGCGCTGTGCTGCCGTGTTGCAGCAATTGAATTTAATGGGTAGGTGGAGGATGAAGCGACAACTGGTATTCGCGTGACTCAGGTGTTATGTAATGTGTACCTGTGCAGGTCAGGTATTTGGGGAGTGGGCCTTGCAGGTTTTGTTCAAAGCATTAAGTTGGCCTTTTTAATATTCATGCAGGTGTTATTTAGTGTCATGTGACTTTTTTAAGAGTGACACTTATTTTCTTATGTATATAGCTTAAATGCTTAATTTGGTATATTGTTATAATATAATTTATATTTCATCTGCTGTGCAGCTTCTGCAGTTTGACTTCGACACTATCTGCTATATGATATAGCAGATTTTCAGCCTTTTCACAATTTTTCACGATTTGCGATTAACAACCCTGGTGTTGAATGTTAATACTTAAATGTATTTATTATTAACTATAATTAATAATATTATTTATCAGAGTAAGTTAACATCTATCAGTTAGTTTTTGCACTGGGAACTTATTTTTTTACTCTGAAAAAGGTTTTTTTTGATGATTACAACGTTGTGGTGTGAACAATTTAAAAAAATTGTACAATACTGAGAGAACTGAGTTTATATAAATGAGAATGAATGTTAGGATATAGAATAAAGGGAATTAGAATAGTTATTAGTAAGGGTGTTCCTAATATACAAGGAATGTTCATATTTTTTACTAATACAAAAGAAGTTTCATAACAAATTTTGTTCTTACAAATTTTTGCGGATGATAATTTATAAATTTTCATATAAGTGTTATTAGCACTCAAAGTTCGATTTTTTATTTCAACATAAAATTACAATTAAAAATATTACGTTGTTTTTATAAGAACCGATGAAAAATAGTTAATCTTAAATTAAAATACCATAACTTTATTATCATTATTATAATAATAATAATAATTATGATTAATATTATTATTATCATCGTAAACAATGTCATGATCATAATTATTGACATAACTATTATTATTAGTGTTCACATTGTTATCTCTATGGTTATCATAAGAAACACATTTTTAAATTAATTTTAACATATGTGAAAACTTTTAAAAAAATTAGAACAAAAAAATTAAAATCTAAATCTAAATCTAAAAGCTAAAAACTGGTTGTGGTTTTAAAAATATAAAATTGAAAACCATCTTAATCAAGTCCGAGTGATTGAATTAAACGTGTTTTTAATATATAGAATAATTCATCAACTAATTGATATGTATAAGAGTGAGAAAGGTCTAACATGTCTACTAATTTAATTCAATCTATCGTTGATTTGAACATGTTCAAATTTTGCAGTATAATTTTTAGAATGGTTTAGGTTATGTAACTTTTGAAAAATATTGCTTTCAAATCACACATGAATTTACAATCAGCTTAAATATAATTTTTGTCCTTATAATTTATCATTTTTTTATTTTTATTCTAAGTAAATTTTTTATTGTTATTTTATCTTTATTTTTTTATAATGTTTTAAAAATAATATCATTAATTTCTATTAAAAATATATTTTAAATTATATGAATTAAAAAGTAAAATAAATAAAATTAAAAAATATTTTAACTTAAAAATAATTATAAAAGCGTTATTTAAATGATTTTGAGCACTAAAAGTGGTGCTTTTTTAAAATAAAGAAACTAAAATAGATTTTTTTAAAGACTAAAATTAAACTTAAAAAATTTTAGGAAGACCAAAAATATGTTCCACCTTATTATTTATTATAATATTTTTATAATATTTTTCTTTCTTACGCATAATATAATTATTATACTAATTTTATTATCATTCGATATTTTTTAATATTACATTACTTATTTTAATCGTTATACTATTTTCTATATAAATTATCATTGTTAATAAACATTTAATTTTTAAATAAAAATGTAAGAATTCAAAATAAACTAAAATGTCTAAAAATATTTTTGTTTGTATTATTAAAATCTCGAATAAATATATTATTTTATATCATTTTATATTTATAAAATAATTATAGGGAAAAATAAAATATGTATTACAATGTAAAATACTTTTACCTGATTATCTCATAACAAATAAACATTTATGATAAATATATTTAGTTTGATAAGTACTTACAAATCATACAATTTGAGTTAGTTAAAGTTGTAAAATATTTTACACTAACAATACATAAACTCTTCTAAATCAATAAACTAAATAAATAAATAAATATCAGTACTTAATAAAATGATACCAATTTAATTTACTTGACAATGTTATATGTTTTGTTCGATTTGTTTTAATATTATAAAATTTCAATTTTAAGAACTACTGTAATTTGATAAAATTTAAACGTTCAAATCAAAGCAGAAAAAATATAAAATTTGAAATATCAAAATCAGAATGTATTTTTTCAAAAAAAAAAAAAAAAAAGAAAGGGTAACATTAGCTTTTTCCCACTAGGGCTAATCACTAATAGCCTGTGACCATTTTCCTACTTCAACTTCAATCTCTCCCTTTCTTCAACCCTCGTCGCACCTTCTCACCCTTTCTCAATGTAAGTGTTTTTCCACTTGTTCATTCCCTCAATTTCTTCAACTCCTCATACCCCCTCAATTTATGACTATACTTTTCACTCAGATTTTTCTGAGCTATGAGTTTCGAATTGGGGTATTTGTTCATGTTTAAACCCTACCCTTCCACGTGTTTCGTTAGCTGTTTTCGATAATGTTATTTATCAAGATTTTGAATCTTTGATTCTTTAGTAGAAAGTTGGGGTTGGGGTTTTTCTGGCTTTGGGGGTGCTCTAGATATGATTAAACAGATATTCGGTAAAATACCTCGCAAACCCTCAAAATCTTCTCATAATAATTCAAACGGTGAAGGAGGGATCAATGATGGTTTCTCACTGAACTCATCTTCTGGGACCAATTCCAATACCCTCTTGAAACCCAATTCAGTTTCTTCGAAATCTTCAAGCTCTGGTTCAGTTGGGTCTCGTTCTGGGAATGAGACTAGTGCTCAACAGTTTACAAATCAAACTAAGAAATCAGCTCCACCAACGGGTTCGGTAATGGCTTCTGCGGTTTATGAGGCTTTGCCTAGCTTTAGGGATGTTCCTAGCTCCGAGAAGCAGAATCTTTTTATTCGAAAGTTGAATATGTGCTGTGTTGTGTTTGATTTTAATGATCCTGCTAAGCATCTCAAAGAGAAGGACGTTAAGCGGCAAACTCTACTTGAGCTTGTTGACTACGTTTCGTCTGTGAATTCCAAGTTCAATGAGTTGGCGATGCAGGAGATGACGAAGATGGTGGCGACCAATTTGTTTCGTGCTTTGCCTTCTTCCAATCATGATGGGAAGTTGGCTGAAATCTGTGAACCTGAAGAGGAGGAACCTGTTATGGAACCGGCATGGCCTCATCTGCAGATTGTGTATGAATTTCTCTTTAGATTTGTGGCTTCACCAGAGACGGATGCTAAGCTTGCTAAAAGATACATTGATCATTCGTTTGTGTTGAGGCTGCTTGACCTTTTTGACTCAGAAGACCAAAGAGAGAGGGATTACCTGAAGACTATTCTCCACCGTATTTACGGGAAGTTCATGGTGCATCGGCCGTTCATTAGAAAAGCTATCAACAATATCTTTTACCGGTTCATATTTGAGACAGAGAAACACAGTGGGATTGCCGAGTTGCTAGAAATATTGGGCAGCATAATTAATGGTTTTGCTCTGCCTTTGAAAGAAGAGCATAAGCTGTTCCTTGTCCGGGCACTGATCCCACTTCACAAGCCCAAGTGCGTTGCTCTCTATCATCAACAACTTTCGTATTGCATTACTCAGTTTGTTGAGAAGGATGTCAAGCTGGCTGATACTGTGATAAAAGGCCTTTTGAAATATTGGCCAATAACTAATAGCACAAAGGAGGTAATGTTCCTTGGTGAGTTGGAGGAAGTTTTAGAGGCAACTCAAGCAGCAGAGTTTCAGCGATGTGTGATTCCATTATTTCGTCGAATTGGTAGATGCCTCAATAGCTTACACTTTCAGGTGCTTATGAAATTCACTCATCCACATCTTGATAACAGAGTAAATCCTCTAAAAAGTGAAAACAAAATTACAACCTGAAACTTAAATTAGGAAATTCTTTGTAAGATAACCACATATGGTCTAGAGGACTGTGACATGCAGACTCTGGTCCAACTCTCAATTTCTCACCAATTGAAAAATTCCTTCCCTCATTCTCCTCCTTATTCCCAAGTCATCCACTTCATTTATACCCAAAAACTTCTACTCCATTAGTCTCCTGCCAGTTTGCAACCGTGCTATTCCCCTCTTTCTCCCGTGACAGTCTCTATTTGACCCTGTAGACCATTTGTAATCAGCTCCATACCCATAACTCCTATTTTCTTGCTATTATGCTATATATGTGGGTAAAAGGCCTACCAAATACTTGATGCAATTATTTGGAGTTTATAATTGCACACTTGAATTTTTTGTTGATCCTTATAGATCAACCATAATATTGGATGTCAAGTATACATTGTTCAGACATTCCGTTTTTGTTATATTGGATTTCTGATGCCTGTAGTTGAATGCTTGTCACCTTATTTTAGATAGAAGATGCTCGAGCCAAGGTTTCTGAAACATCAGCAAAGAAGTATAATGATGTTGTTGATGCACATGAAAAATCCAAAGATTTAGAGAATACATTGAAAGATGTAACGAAAGAGCTTCAAAACTTTAACAAAGAGAAAGAAGTCATTGAAAAACGACGAAGAGTGGCACTACAGAAGCACACAGAGCTTGAGCTTGATGTCAAAGACCTGCAAGAGAAGATCTCTGGAAATATCCGAGCCAAAGTACTATTTTGAAGAAGTCCTCTTACAAGTTATTTTGATGGGATGGTTCTGTACATGATTTATCTTTTACCTTCATGCTTTCAGGAAGATGCTGCAAAACAACTTGAGATACTTGAGAAAGAAATTCAAGATTCAACAGTTGAACTGGGCAAAATCATTCCTTTACATGAAGATCAAGTTCAAAAAGAAAAAGACATTGCCAAGCGGTATGTTATGGTTGTACTTGTCTTTTGATATGCTTTAAAGAAGTATACTGTATCTAATTCTCCCAGTTTATGTATTTAAACTCTCTGACGTGGTGGTTTTGTTTTTTACTGCACTCTTATTACAGGTTAATCTTAATGTTTTAGTTTTTCCCATTTAGCTATAAATTTGGATTAAGACTCATATATATGTGTATATATATATATATATAATATATTTAACATGCTTGTGTTACATGTTTACAGCTTGTATGTGTACTGGCATGTATTTGAAGTGTGAAATTTATTCTATCATTTGTTGAGGATATTCAACAGATTCTAATTAGTATTTCTCCCAAATAAATGAATTACTAGAATAATGGAGCGCGAGAAGAAACTCAGTATACTTTATCAAAAACAAGGACGAGCAACCCAGTTTTCAAGTAAAGCTGCTCGTGATAAGTGGCTTCAAAAGGAGATTGATGATCTTGAACGGGTGCTTTCTTCAAACAAGGGACAGGCAAGTTTTAATTTATCTGTGTGAACAATAATGAATTATGTCCCAGATTCTCTTTTAACAGATTCATGGCATTAAAATGTATGCTTTTCTTCAATCTTGTTCTTTATTAATTGTAAGTGTGATAACAAAATCATCCTTCTACTCTGTTTATGCATTTTTTCATGTTTTTCTGCTAACCAGATTTAGTGCATGTCTAATTGGGAAAATAATTACTTACTTTTGCCAACCTCCCAAGATAACTTTTTAAAAAAAGGTGATTATTTCTGAGAAAATGGTCATTCCTAAACATGCAGCGTGTTATTAGAGAATAGAATGAAAAGTAGAATATGAGGATATGATGTCCCATGGTAGGAACAAAATGTGTGTTTGCTACTACAAACAGTATCATCTAAGCTTGCCAATTTCACTGCATATCCTAGTAGTAGTAATAGTAAGGAACCCATTTAATTTGTGTTGTTTAATGTGCTGAGCACCATGATGAAAAGACATTTTTTCCTGTAGAATTGGAAAATACTCTACTTTTATTTTAGTTTGATGACTTATTTTTTAACACATTTCTTCATTAACTACGCTTCATTACAAAATTGGCTTGTTTCCAAATACTCCAGCTCAGTTTGGTCCTTTCTATTGCTTTTCAGAAGCTGCTTGTAGAAGCTAAGATGCTCTTTGGTGTTAATTGTTTTAAATGCAAAATGTGGAATCCAGCTAATTTGTGATTTTCAAGTCTACTTCTCCTATGAAAAAGGAAACCTGCTCTCTAAAAGTACTATCAATTTTTAATAAGGGGCCTTTGAGAACTTTACCTGACACTTGAAGTTTGGTGTTCATGCTTTAAATGAGTAGAAGTCTATTACTAATAAATCTCAAGCTCAGCTGAACAGAAGTTTTTATGCTGCTTAATTTAAAAAGAACTGGGTTATATTGATAAATTTTACAATTTTTACTTGAATCCCATTAACTATGTTCGTATTTTTGTAAACCTTAATGGTTAAGCCATATGGTACTACTCAATTTGATAAAATTGATATACGATTATTCTGAGGATATAGACCTTTGATGACCCCTGTCAATGCTTCTGATATTTACTTTGGTATTTGCAAATTGTTAATCACTATCCTTGTCTTCTCCTGTTATATGAACACTTGTCTCTTGAACTATGCTATTTCCTTGTTGTTTTGGTCTGCAGGAGCAAAAGCTTTTGGATGAAATTGATCGGCTTAATGAAGAACTACGTGATTGTGATGAGAACATAAATAGACGAAAATCAGATATTACTGCTTTGGAAACTCTCATTGCTCAGTCACGTGAAGGGCTTAATCATTATAAAGTAGAGAGAGACAAGTTACATGACGAGAGGAAGTATGTATAACTCTTGTTTTGTCTTTTCTGTTTCAATTTCTATGTATACTTTTTTCCTAGATGAAAAAAGTCATATTGTTATAGTGAAGAATAAGTACATCAAAAGTGTAGCATGGGTTCCCTCCTTAGCAAAAGCCGAAAATGTAAACTGCAAAAGTATATTATTTATTACATTCCATAGTGAAGAAATTATTTCTTATGAATTTAAATTCTTACATTATAGGTCCCTATGGGGCAAAGAGAATGAACTTACTTCTGAAATTGATAAGCTGAGAGCAGAAGTTGAGAAGGCTGAAAAGAGTCTTGATCATGCAATTCCTGGTGTGAGTAATCCCTCTTTCTAGTTTCTTTAACATCTCCTTTGTAAATGCCATTAAATTATCAAGAATGCTTGTGATGGCTGTTCTTAGGTATTGCATCTTTCATTATGAACGGGTACTTCTGACCTTGTTCAGTGAAGAATTTTAGTAACTTGTATCCTATCTGACGTGAATTAACACTGTCATCATATTTGTAAATTGATGTCACTCTGTAAGAATATGGATGTGTTTGACCTTTACGGGTTTTTACATTTTTTAATGCACCATAGTTGAAGGAAACTGCAGAAAACTTTACTTTCAGAAATTATGGGTCTTTGTATTTAAACTTAAAAATAAGTGTTTCTAAACAAGTGCTTTTAAAGAAAACAATTCTTTAAGAAGCATATAGGAGTTGCTTCCAAAAAAAGTAGAAAACTGCTTATTTTAAAAAAAGAAGTTTAGACAAACACATCAAAAAGTAAAGTACTTATTTTATTAAAAATAAGAGCTTTTATAAGAAAAAATATTTAAACTAACAAACCCTATATTACAATTAAAAATAGAAGATATAAAATGATTCTGTTCTGTTGTGGGAGAAGTACATGTAACTTTTGAATTGGTAAGTGAGTTTAGTAATTTCGGATTTGCTGCCATTTAGGTAATACAGTACTAAAATTTGATAAGGTTGCTATTTGTGTTTGAGGAAGTGAAAGACAGTGGAAGAGTTTCAGAGAAATTTGAGAGAATAAACTTTTATAATATGCTAATATTCAGACTGAGTCTTTAGTCTCTGCAACAGAGACTACAGTCTATAAAAGAACACAAATAATCTGACTTTGCTATTCTGTTAGAGTCCAAGCTAACTAACCACGGTCAGTTGTAACAGAATTTGAGCACAGTTTACAATTGCATAATATTAGCTACCACTCCAATAAAACTAAGCTATCAGGTAATGAGTTATAACAATAAAAATGGAAGAGTCAATAACTTGATAAGTGAGAGAGAGGCACACACATACACACATATAATAATGTTAAAAAAGAACTTGATAGATAAAAGAGAGACACATAATTATAATAATCTTAAAAGATAAAATTATGGATAAATAGTGGACCTTTGCTTTTATTTCTTTAATGCAATGAGTTTATTTCTTTATTTTTATTTTCATTTTTGTTATTGTGGAATTTGATGCGACATTATATAATTATGTTCATAATGTTTTATAAAAGATCATTGAATAGTATTTTAATTGAATTACAACTGTATTTTAATCAGTATTGTTTCACTAGTTTGTCCAAAATGTGTGTAATGGATATATGTATGGGTCATGCCCGTCAGGGTACTAGTATTGAAATTGTTACTCATGCAAATATGGGTCTTTCTGGATTTTTTTAAAATGTGTATGGGGACAAATATGAGTATATCCTACTTGGACCCTGTCTATTGCTATCTCTTAAGTTGTTTATCTATTCAGATTGAGGATTAACTGTTGTGATGGTGTTTCTATATACTTATCTGGACACAGATTGATGTTTTTATCTGTGACACTATTATTATGTTCAGGATGTGAGAAGAGGGTTGAATTCAGTTAGGAAGATCTGCAGGGAGTATAACATTTCTGGAGTTCATGGTCCAATTATCGAGTTACTGAATTGTGATGAAAAATTTTTCACTGCTGTTGAAGTTACAGCAGGAAACAGGTTATTTGTCACTGATATTTCTTTTAATGTATTGATTTGATCACATGCCACATTGAGAATATTTTCCTATATTGTTTTTGGGGTGGGTGGAGAATTTGGCACATCTATCAAGTAGATGTTTCATCCTTTTATTTTTAGTCTTTGTTCTTGGCCTGATTTATTTACTGATTTCATTTTTTTTTCTTTCTCATTTTGCTTAATGTTTTTTATTTAACATCTTTGTTTGAACAGCTTATTTCATGTGGTGGTTGAAAATGATGACAAGTCAACCCAAATAATTAGACATCTTAATTCACAAAAAGGTGGCCGAGTTACATTTATTCCACTTAACAGAGTTAAGTCTCCTCGCATCACTTATCCACAGAGTTCTGATGTCATACCTCTTCTAAAGAAATTGAATTTTAGGCATGACTACACTCCCGCATTCAGTCAGGTTAGCTTCTAAACAAATGATATCTGGTAAATAGCATAATTCTGAGGTTTAGATCTATCAGATGTCAACTTAACATGAAAAAATTGATGCATAATGGAGAAACATGTTAATTTATAATAATTATGATATTCAAGGATTATTTTAGGGCTTATTATCCTGTTTTAACGGAAGTGATTTTAAAATTTTCTCTTATTTTAGAGATCTCCACTATTCTTGGGAATTTTATCCTCAATAAATAATATGCTCTTAGGAGAACATTATCATGTTAGGATCGTTTTAATTTGATTTCATTAAGATTTTTTTAGGAAACTAATTTTTGATTGGGATTTGTGTAGGATTGTTATTATCTATAGGTTATAAAACCTAAAAAACCCTGTATAAGAAATTTGTACAGAGGTTGGCTGGGTAAATTAGACTATTGCTTTTGAGATAAACTAGTTATTTGAGTTGAGTACCTATATAAGAAATTGTTTTGGGAGAATTAGTGAATGTGATTGTCATGGATGATAATATTCCCTGCATGTTTGTTTCAAGAAGGAATCTTAGATTTACAGTTACATATGCTGATATAGTAAAAAAAAGGTGATAGATAGTGTACTAATTATTTAGTTGCATTTGATGTCCCTTAACATCACTTATGATATTTCTCTTAGGTCTTTGCTAGAACGGTTATCTGTAAGAATTTGGATGTGGCTTCAAGGGTTGCTCGAACTGATGGTCTGGACTGCATAACAATGGATGGTTGGCCTAGTTCTTTTCATTGTCTGTCTACTTGATATGGGCTGGTCTTGTGTTTTGCCCTGACAAATTGCCTGACTTGTTACAGGTGATCAAGTAAGCAAGAAAGGTAGTATGACTGGAGGATTTTATGATCACAGGCGATCAAGATTGAAGTTTATGAATATCATCAAGCTGAATGCAGACACTATTCACACTAGAGAGGAGGAATTGGAGAAAGTTAGAATTGATCTACAAGATATCCTTCATGTTACTAAATGAACATTCTTTTTTGAAATTTTCATTTCTCTTGGTTGAGAATTCATTCTTTATAAAATGCATATAAAAAAAGAGGAAATAAAGGAAAGAAAATTCCGAAGATCTGATTCACCTGATTAAATTTTATTTGGCAAAAAATAGTTCCAAGAGTGAGAATAAAGGAAACATAAGTTGCATTCACTTTATGTTTATAATGCATATTATGGCATGCATAGCTGGAGGTGATGGGTTTGCTTAACTCGGTGATTTTTCATCTGATTAACTGCAACTTTACAACTGCAGTGTGTCATTTCTTTTCCTGGTTTCTTAGGCATATTAATGTTGCTGCCTTAGAAGAATGTTTTAATCGGTAAAGGTGGATTGCTTCATACGATTGTTTTGTTAGAAATGTATCAATCTTAAGCTAAAGATAATAGGATGCTCTACCTCGGTTTTATCAAGGACAAAACTTGTGTGTTACAGTATTTATCTGGTTCCATGAACCTTTACTGAAGTTCAGTGGTTCTTTTGGACTCTATTTTCTAGTGACTTTTTTTCTCCCTTTTTTCTTGCATTCATTTATTTATGGTGACAATTGACTTTCCTTTAGCTGATTCATTTGCTTTATCTTATGTGGAAAGTTTTGAAAGAGAGCCTCAATTTATTTCTGACCTGATAACATGAAATGTCATATATTTATTAGTTTTGTGACTGACTTGTTGTGAAACTATTTCCTGAAATGGTTGTTTTCACTGAATTAGTTTTTACATATAGACCGAAGGATTAATGAACTTGTTGCTGAGCAGCAGAAGATTGATGCCAAGCGTGCTCATGACAAATCAGAGATGGAACAGTTTAAGCAGGATATTGCTAATGCTAATAAGCAGAAGCAGTTGATATCTAAAGCACTTGCAAAGAAGGTGCTATTGAACTTCTCAATTATACTTAACTATCCACAGGGAGCTACTTTTCGGTTGGTAGTTGCTTGTGGTATTTTTTGCTAATTGTTTTTACCTTTTCCTTAATTGCTTGTAGGAGAAGTCGGTTGTCGATGTCCAGAATCAGATTGAACAGCTCAAGGCTAGTATCACAATGAAAAAGGCTGAGATGGGCACTGAGCTCATTGATCATTTAACACCAGAGGAAAAAAAGCTTTTGTCAGATCTGAACCCTGAAATCAAAGACCTTAAAGAGAAGCTTGTTGCTTGCAAGACTGATCGCATTGAGGTTATTCAATCAATTGTATTGATGCTCCCAATGTTCATGAAGTAAGTGTGCTTATTTTGTCTTAAAATTTTACAGACAGAAGCACGGAAAGCAGAGCTGGATACCAATCTGACTACTAACCTTAGGAGAAGGAAACAAGAGTTGGAGGCTGTAATATCATCTGTGGATGATGACTCTTTGGTTGCTGATGCTGAATTGAAGCAGCAGGAACTTAGTGATTCTAAAATATCGGTTGATGATGCAACAGGGCAGCTTAGAAGTGAGACTGTCAAAATTTCAATCAATATACTTTTATCTATATTTTGAATATATTTCTTTGGTTGATCAAATATTCTTCCTCAGGAGTTACTGAAAGTATAAATGACCGAACAAGGCAAATTAAAAAGATAAAAGATGAATTGAATAAATTGAAGGTAAAAAATGATCTTATTACCTTATAAATTGATTTCTGGTTATGTGTATTGTTGCTCCAAATATTGATGAAACTTTTTGGCTGTAGTCCTTGGAGGATGAGTATGATAGGAAACTTCAGGAAGAAGCTAAAGAATTAGAGCAATTGCTGAGTAAAAAGAATATATTTGCTGCTAAAGAAGAGGAATATGCCAAAAAAATAAGGGAATTGGGCCCATTGACATCAGATGCTTTTGAAGCGTAAGTATTTTCTTTCACCATATCTTTCCTTTATTATGTGTGTATAAGATGAAAAGTAAACTGAAAGATGCTATGGAATGATCAGCAATATTTTACGTAAGGAAAAATGGCAATCTTCTTCCACAACCAATTTGATGTTGTCACCTTAAATAAGCCTTGTTCTGTCATCAAATATTCCAAACTTTGCAATGATACATTTTCATTAAACACAGTTTCCTTCTCACTCCATTGTCATTAAATATGGCATGGCTAACTCCTGCAGCCATGTAGACAGAGCTTGTGCCCAGGCAAATTAACAGGAGCATATAATGCATAGCCTACTGCAAAATCCACAGCCTATTTCCAACAATGCATATCTGGATTGTTTTGTTATTTCAGCTATTTTTTTAATTAATATTAGATATTCAATCTTTCTTTGGGGTAAACTTGATTACCATGCCATGATATTTTGATGATCCAGCAGATACGGTGCTATTACAGTTTATAGCTTGCAGCATTGCAATTCATCATTTTCTCTGTAATTTGGTTTTAGCTAACTTTATTTGATTCCTTTCCTCGTTGCAAATGACAGGTATAAACGGAGGAATATTAAAGAGTTGCACAAAATGCTGCACAGGTGCAATGAGCAATTGCAGCAGTTTAGTCATGTAAACAAGAAAGCACTTGACCAGTATATAAATTTTACAGAACAACGAGAAGAACTTCAGAAAAGACAGGCTGAACTTGATGCAGGAGATGAGGTACTTTTCTGGGATGTCCATTTGGAATGCCCTTTATAATTGTTTCCAAAGAAACTAAAGTCTTTGATGGCTAAACGCCTAGCATATGTTGCTAGTTCTGCACTTCAATGTCTGAATGGTTTGGTACAACTTATCTGTCATGGCTCTGAACATTGTTGTTTATGTGCCTCTTTAATGGTTCTTGTTAACCAATCACCTATGTGTGGAATAACCTAGGAATTTTTTTATGTTTGGTTTCAAGCTTGATTTAGCAAGTCAGACCGCTTCCAATCGTCCAATGCCAACTTTTGCATTTTTGGCTGTGGTTTATTCAACATAACTTTTTTGAATTGTTGAATAATTGCAGAAAATTAGGGAGCTGATATCAGTGCTAGATCAACGGAAGGATGAATCAATAGAACGTACTTTCAAAGGTGTTGCTAGGCATTTTCGGGAAGTATTTTCCGAACTTGTACAGGGGGGTCATGGTCATCTGGTTATGATGAAGAAGAAGGTTTGTGATGGTTCTTGTCTAAATCCATTCAATTCTTGCTTTTGAATGGGAAAAAGTGATGCTTTGTATTATCTTGGTTTCATGTATAAAATAGTTTTAGCATTAGTAATTTTTTAATGTTCTCATGTCGTATTGATTTCATACTCTTGTTTAAATGTGGTGCTTGATTATTGCTTTATTTTTTTTTGTATTTTGCAAACATTTGTGTTATCTGCAGAACCTTTTTTTAGTTAATGTAAGTGATATGAAAACTGGTATTTCTGTATTCTGTTTCTTTCCCTCAGGATGGTGATGATGATGAAGATGAGGATGGTCCTCGTGAAGCAAATCCAGAGGGGAGAGTAGAAAAGTATATTGGAGTGAAAGTGAAGGCAAGTGTATTCTTTTTGTGCCGTTTTTTAATTTTAATTTTGTTGTAAAGTTTATGGTAGAAGCCCAGAACGCTTGAGGGTTTGTTAACCAACCGAATGGTATCATGTGATTCGTATGTCTGACCTCATCCTGGATATGGCTATTGTTGTTTGTACAGGAATGCTTGAGGGTTTGTTTTGTTTTGGCGTGGGGTAGGAAATACTATTATTCATATCTGAAGATATTTTTCGTTTCTTTCATTTCTAGATGGCATTTAGGCAGAAGTTACATTCATGACCTAATGCAACCAAACAAAAAGCAAAACTTAAAATCATCTAAAGACGCAAACTGCAATTAAACAGCTGTGTTCTGTTCTTTGACCCTTCATTTCAGTTGCCCTTGGTTTTCATTTTTACTATATTACAAGTACATAACGTATAAGTTTTGACATTTCTGGACACATTTATTCCTTCAGGTCTCTTTTACAGGACAAGGGGAGACACAGTCCATGAAGCAGTTGTCTGGGGGTCAAAAAACTGTTGTTGCCCTTACACTTATCTTTGCCATACAGCGATGTGATCCTGCTCCCTTTTATCTATTTGATGAGATCGATGCAGCGCTGGATCCACAGTACAGAACTGCTGTCGGAAGTATCCTTTTTTATGCTGCTGCCGTATTATGTCAAATGACTGATCCTGTGCAATTCTTCTATTAAATGAACTTTTATTATGCGTATTGGAGGTGAATGGACAGGGGTAATCAGTATGGAACTATGCTCTAAAATGGAAAGGATTAGAGGAACATTTACAATTGGTATGGGTTTTTGGTGTATTTATAAAAATTAATTCATGCTTGTGATATTGTTTCTGAATGGCATCTAGATTTCCTGTTACACTGCTGGGACTCTTAACTTCCGTAGATATGATCCGTCGCCTGGCCGACATAGCAAACACTCAATTTATCACAACAACATTCCGCCCAGAGCTAGTGAAAGTTGCTGACAAGATATATGGAGTGACACATAAAAACAGGGTCAGCCGTGTTAATGTTGTATCCAAAGAAGATGCACTAGAATTTATTGAGCATGACCAGACGCACAATGCTGAATAAGATTAACCTTGTAAGTTTTGCACTATTTCTCTTTACGATACATATGGTTGTGATGATGCCGACTCTTATTTGGAGTTTTTCCTTTTCTAATTAACACTGGTCGTTGCAAGTGCAAAACTTTGTAACTCTGCAAATGAAAATTAACTATATTTTAATGACAAGTGTTACATGCTTTTCATTGAAAAATTTCACTAATTTTTTCTCTGAACGTCATAAATGTCTCATTGATACACTTTCTAATACTGTAACTCGTTCAGTTGGTTATTTTGTATGTTTTGAAGTAGTATCTTTTTGTTGGATGCTTCTGACTCGCTTTATCTAATTAGTCAGCTCTGGGCACTCTTGGAAGCATGTAAAGACTGCGGACCCAAGTTTATTGAAATCCTTCAACCTACTATTCATCTGATGTGTATTAACTGGCGTGACGCCAATCCAGGTCGTGGAGTAACCAAAAAGCATGATCAGATATGCTTACAAATTATCTCTTTAAATGGATCAATACAACTTGACTCAAATTAATTTTAGGTTTAATATGATTTTTGGTTATTGAAGATTTTAAAAAGGAAAAAGGATTCTGAGAAAATTATATGTATATTTTAGAAAATGTTATTCGTTTTCATCTCTAGTTAACCTATACCTGATTAATAATTAATCAATATAATTTAATCAGTAAATATTTAACAATAAACGATTGTTATGGAAATACATTGATGGGTATGCGTGGTAAGTTTGGTCTGACACTTATGCAATTTTAATAAACTTTTAAATTTAGTGAATTAGATTGATTAAATATAATTTTTTGTTTTTGTCATTTTTCTTAAATTTAAAGGTTTGATTGACGTGATATTTAAGAGTAACATGATGTTTGATTAGATAGAAGACATAGATGTTGACATGATACGTGTCATATAAAAATAAGATTAAAATATTATCAAAATACAAAAAAAAAACTTGGTTTCTTCATCTTTAGTAATATTTAATTACTAAACTAATGGATTTCTTTAATGTGCAAATAAAAGTTATAATATATAGATATAAATTCAGTTTTGTTTTGCAAATATTAAATTTTGGTTTCAAATTTTTTTTATTGCAAATTTAGTCTTTATTAATTTTTAAATTAAGTAATGTTGGTTCACTTATTTACATATCATTCAAAATTAAACATGTTTATGTATTTATGAATGATATTTTATATTAATTATTTAATCATGTTGACTTTTATATAAAGAGAATATTGTTTTTTTATTTATTATTATGTGTAAAAAATTTTGGGGACTAAAATTGTTTATTTGTGAAATTAAAGAGACTAAGTCTAATTTTATATGAAATATAAAAGGGTGGATATTTAGATTGGTATGACCCTTTTTAAGGTTAGACTTGTAAAATTTACATTTTTAGTGGGTTAGATATGTCTTATCCGGGCATATCTAGCTTGATAAGTCTGTAGTTAAACAAATTGGTATGTAGGGTTAATGAAATTATAAAAATTAAAATTTTTTCTCAAATTAAAGTAGTTTATTTTATTTTATTTTTATTTTTTATAATTTCCTTAAGTTATGAAAACATGAAAAAGAATATATATATATATATATATAAATTTACTTATTTTAAAAGTATTTAAATTTATTTAACTTAATATTTTATGTTTTACATTTAATTTTAACAATCTATTATTAAATAAATTTTTTTATTATATAGATCAAGTCTATAAATTATTAAAAAATTATTTGATATTGTATTTTATTAATTTAAATTAATAAATAATTATAAAAATAATTTATATATTAATTTTAATTTATATAATAAAGTATTAAATATTTTCACTTATAAAAATGATGATGGTTTTCCACTTCCCTAAAAAAATTAATTCATATATAGAATTTGGGGGATGACGGAGAGAATTTGGGGGATGCCTGTGGAGAGTTAACCACCATCGGAACCGTCGGATGGGTGTTGGGGGTCTCAAGCTGAGTCAGTCATTGACCTTTAAGGAGAAGGTACTGGGTGCCCTGATTATGCGGCCGGCTGTTCGAGATCTTATCAAGGAGGGGGCTATGACGTTAAAGTTCGAGGGTGGAGATCGGTTGTTTCCCAAATTTAGCATCACGACACCCACGTTGAAACAGTTGTGTGAACCATGGGAAAAGTGTCTAGTGATCAAGCTGATAGGGAGAGATGAGGGGTTCTTAACCTTGTGAGACAGGCTACCTGCTTTGTGGAAGGTTCAAGGAGGGTTTGAGTTGCTGGACGTGTCACATGGTTACTTCATGGTGAAGTTTGATTTGTAGGCGGATAGAGAACAAGTCATGCACGGGGGCCCTTGGATGCTCTTTGATCATTATCTGATTGTTCGACCATGGTCCCCGGAGTTCGTAGCGTCAGCAACGAAGGTCGACAACACTCTTGTCTGGGTTAGGTTTCTAGGGCTCGGAGTGATGTTCTACGATGAGAGTGTTCTCTTAACGATTGCTTCGGCCATAGGAAAACCAGTCAAGGTGGATATCTGAATACCCTGAATATGACACGGGGTAGGTTTTCACGGGTTTGTGTCGAGATTAATTTAAATGTACCAGTTGTCGGAAGGTTTTTCCTCAACGGTGTTTGGTATAACGTTGAATACGAGAGTTTACACTTGCTGTGCTCGGCGTGCGGTTGCTATGGGCATGTTCTGCGGAATTGTACTCACGCAAATAGGAATGAGGTATTGGCACACGGTGAGGGGGAGAAGGAGGCGACGGAGCAGCCGTCAGGGGACCCACCGCATCAAGCGGAATCTGTTGCTCCAACAGGAGAGCCATCCGTCCCGCAAGTTAGGGGGGAAATTGCGATAGATCCGCATGGGGAATGGTTGGTAGTGAAACGGAGGAATCGGAGACAAAATCTTGGGAAACCATTGAGTAAGGGGAGATATTCCTATCATAATGGGAATGCAGAAATCCAGGCGCAAGATCATGCCATCCCGAGTTACTCTACGAAGGGGAGTCCAAACAGAGAAGGAACCACGTACGGGTTTTAAACATTCACGTGTGGTGAAATTGCAAGCACGTGAACAGAATTATGCGGTGAACTTGCAAGCACGTGAACAGGACCATGCATCAGGGTCTAAAGCCTTTAATGGGGGCCACGGGTTGAATCATAATGTAATTGGCATGGGGTCCACGCATGAGAGCAAGAAATGTAGCAGGGGGAGGTAATTGGTGCCCGTCCACGGCCCACTAATATTGCACCAGCTTTGGGCTCGCATATGGCCCACAAACCGCACGTTGGCCTCCCTCTCAATGATCTCGCGTACGGCCCACAATTGGTGCATGAGGGAATGACGGGGAGTTCAATTAGGAGTATGGAACCATGTGCGCTTCAACCAGGTTACTCGACCAACGTACTGCACGTTTCCGAGGACAGTGTGCATGAGACCCTGGGTACGGAGGATATTATGCAATATGACGAAGAGGAGGCCATGGTAGCTTGAGTACCTGTCGTATCTAGTGTCTTTAATGTCTACGAATTTTAACATTTTGAGTTGGAACATCAGAGGGGCTGTTAATGCCAAAGGTAAAAGGAGGGTTGCAGAACCAACCGTCTATTTTTATTGTTTTGGAAACACACTGCCAGTTTTCTTCGGTGGAGTCGTTCTGGTCAAAGATGGATTATAGGTTGTGCTATAGCATGGAGGCTACGGGGCATTCTGGAGGTATTTGAGTTTTGATGGCGAGGTCATGCTCTGCGAAGGTTTCTGACTTTGCTTCCCACCCTCAGGCCATCTCGTTTACGGTTGTTGAAGGAAGCAAGAGCTGGGTGTGTACTGCCGTTTATGCTAGTCCTCGAGTGGAACTCAGACAACGAGTTTGGGCTCATCTTCGGGAGTTGGGGGACGGATTACGTTGCCATGGCTGGTGCTTGGCGATTTCAATGAAATTATGTTGTCAACGGAATGTAGGGGTGGGCGCTTCTCGACAGCACGGGCTTCACAATTTCTGGAAGTTCTGAATGATTGTAATCTTCTTGACATGAGGGCTAAGGGCCTTCGCTTCACGTGGTATAGAAATCAACGTGGGGTTGTGCTGGCAAAGCGGCTAGACCGTGCGGTGTGCAATGTTGTGTGGCAAGCAATGTTTCTAGAAGCATATGTTGAGAATCTGTGCAGGGTATACTCTGATCATTGCCCTCTTTTACTGCGGCATGGAGGCTCAAGGGACAAGGCTCAAGATCGACCCTTTTGGTTCCAAGCTGCATGGGCCACCCATAAAGGGTTTGAGCGGATTGTTAGGGAGGCATGGGGTCGTAGCGTAGTTACAGGCTGTTCGTGTAGATGCCATCAAGTTTAATAAGGAAGTGTTTGGGAATATCATTACTAGAAAGAAGGCTCTCCAACGACGTCTCAGAGGGGTACAAATACAACTCGAGATAGAGGAATCAGAAAGCCTGTCATGCTTAGAAAAGCCCATACAAGCGGAGCTGGATGAAACTTGTCTTCAAGAGGAGTATCTATGGTTTCAGAAATCTAGAGAAAAGTGGGTGAGGTTTGGGGACCGTAATACGTCCTTCTTCCATGCTCAAACACTCCCGCGAAGACAGAGAAACAAAATTCAGGGGTTGTTTCTACCAGATGGGTCTTGGCATACGGATCCTATGGTAATGAAAAATGAGGCAGTCCGGTTCTATAAGGAGATTTTCTCGAGTAACAACGAACAACGGCCTTTTTACATGCATGCTGGGGTGCCACCTAGCCTGGGAGTTGAGGCCCAATCTGCCTTAACTGCCCCAGTCACGAAGGAGGAGGTTCGCCGGGCAGTGATGAGTATGAAGTCGTTCAGGCTCCAGGGCCGGATGGGTTTCACCCGTTCTTTTTCAAGCAGTATTGGCCTATTGTAGGGGAGGAGTTATGGCGTACAGTGAAGGATGCCTTTTGGTTAGGGTTCTCAGACATATCCCTCTTGGAGACACAAATGGTGTTAATTCCGAAGGTGGACCATCCGGTTAGCCTCAAAGAATTTCATCGTATAAGCTTGTGTAACGTTGCTTAGAAGGTTATTTCTAAAGTGATTGTGGCTCGACTCAGGCCCTTCCTGTTGGACGTCATTGGCCCATTCCAGGGCAGCTTTATCCCCGGGAGGGGGACTCGTGACCATAGTATTATTGCTCAAGAAGCCGTCCATTTTGTACGAAAGGACAGTTCAGGTGTGGGATCCTTGGCCTTAAAAATTGACCTTGAAAAGGCATATGACAGGGTCAAGTGGGATTTCTTGGAATCTACGCTGGTGCAATTTGGCTTCCCAACAGTCACTACTCAGCTTATCATGTGGGGGTTGAAGAATTCGTCAATTTCACTCCTTTGGAATGGAAGCACATTACCATCCTTTGTTCCGTCTCGTGGACTTCGACAGGGGGACCCATTATCTCTGTATCTGTTTGTTTTCTGTATGGAGCGCCTATCCCTCAGGATCTCTGAGTTGCTCCAGACGGGTCATTGGAAACTGATTCAGTTATCCCCTAGGGGGTTACCGCTTTCACATCTTCTCTTTGCTGATGATATTTTATTGTTTTGTCAAGCTACAGAGGACCATGCTCGGTTGGTGGCGTTGACCTTGGAGGAGTTTTCGCAGTCATCAGGCTTGAGAGTTAATTTGACTAAGTCTAAGTTTGTGAGCTCTAGAAGGGTTTCACAGAGGAGGATCGATGCTATGGAGGGCTTGCTCGGGATTGGACACACGACTCAGATCGGGAAGTATTTGGGGGTTCCCATGACTCATGGTCAGCCAAGGTGCGCAGATTTTTATGATGTGATGGATAAGATCTAGGGTAGACTTGCGGCTTGGAAGTCCAAGCTCCTTAATAAGGCAGGTAAGCTGTGCCTAGTGAAGTCTACCATCTCCTCTATTCCAGTTTACAACATGCAAACACTGTGGCTTCCTCAGGCAGTGTGCAATAGAATTGATCAGGCTTGTCGTCATATGCTCTGGGCAAAATCTGACAATTCACGGTATTGGTCCCCAGTGAGTTGGGCTGTTGTTACTCAACCCAAGGAGCGCGATGGTCTTGGGGTTAGGGAGGCGCGTAGGGTTAATGTAGCACTCCTTGGGAAGTTAGTTTGGGATCTGCTGACGGCGCCACAGAAGCCTTAGGTTCAAATCCTCAGCAGCTTATACATACATGGAAATTCTATCTTGTGTGCCCAAAACAAGCGGGGTGCTTCTCCAATCTGGTCAAGTCTTGTTAAGGCCCTTCCTTCTTTTTTTGAGGGTTTCGAGCCTTGGCTAGGGTCGGGTGCCTCATCCCTTTGGTACACGGACTGGTCAGGTACTGGGCTTTGGTGCGGGAGAGTCCCGTTCGTTCACGTTGCGGACATCATTAAAACGGTCGCCGACTGCTGGGTTAGTGGAGTTTGGAACTTTACTAACTTACATACTGTTCTCCCGGCGGAGCTGTCAAGTTCGGTCTAACGGCTGAGTGTCGTCAATTCCTCTTTGGGGCTGGATCACTTTGTCTGGAGGGGTGATCACTCGGGTTGTTATACAGCGGCCTCTAGATATCGATTTCTGACCACGGTCTTGTCGACAGAGGGGGATGTAGTTTGGAAGAAGGTCTGGAAGTTAATGATCCCAGAGAAGGTTAAGTTCTTTCTGTGGCAATGCCTTCAATCAGCCCTTCCAACGAACTAGGTTCGGGCTGATAGGAGGCTCACTGATTCCGGTGCATGTTCGCGTTGTTCTTGCCCTCATGAAACTATCTTACATGCACTTCGTGATTGCCCGTACTCGCGAGAGGTGCTGATGGCTGGCGGGATCAGTACGGGGTGGTCCTTCTCGGAAAGGGATTGTTTTCAGTGGCTAAAGGGGATTATTTTGCACACGGATGTTATTAAGCTATCCATCACCTTGTGGTGGGTTTGGCGGTTTAGAAATAACATGTTGTTCAACGGCGAGCTTTGGACGATTTTGGCAGTCCGTAGGAAGGTGACACTGTCTACGGTGGAGAACAGTGTGTACAATGCTAAGCGGCACTTGTGGACGGAGCAACCTCTATGGAGACCTCCGGAGCATCCGTGGGTCAAACTCAACACGGACGGGAGTTGGTTGAGTGACATTTCTGCTATGGGAATAGGTGGAGTAATTCGAGATTGGGCAGGTATGTGGCGGGGTGGATTCTCACGTGGAGTGTTAATTGGGGATGCGTTACGTGCCGAGCTGTTGGCTTTGGAGGATGGCTTATCGCTGTGTTGGGAAGGTGGGTTTCGGAAGGTGAGTTGCGAATGTGATTGCCTAGAAGCTGTTACGCCGTTTCAAGATCGGTCAACGGATAGGGACTACCTGCACAACCATTATGATGTTATTCATCGTATTAGGTGCATGCGAGCCCGGGACTGGGTAGTTTACGTCAATCATATATCTCGAGAGATAAATTCAGTAGCCCATACGCTTGCCAATTGGCCACCTGAAGGTGCAGGGAAATCAAGTAGAAAAAAATGGGGTTATTCCATGGATTCAATATCCCAAAATGGTAGGGTATCAATGCATTGTCTTCATTGCTATGGTGTCATTGGTGTGTATAAAATTAAGCACACAACATTACATGTATCAGTTGTGCAACTTCTCCAGATAATAGTTATAGTGCTATAGCAAGTGATATTGCATGCCGCTAATAATTAAAGACCCCATAAGTTTGTCCGTGAGTTCCTAAAGCCCAAAGCACTTTTCTACCGCTAAATTTTTTCATACTCTAAATCATACTTGTCCCAAAACAGAGTAGATAATGCCTGTTTTTGACTTTATTATTAACCCTACTACTACTACACAATCACCCCTAAAATATTTTATACAACAAAAGCAATTTCTGCTCAAATAGTATCCTCCTAATGCTTTCCCCTTTAAAACCACATATATTGTATGCCCAAGTCCCCCCCTCCCTAATTTACAATTCTATATTCAAAATATAAAACACTTCAACCTCAATCTGAAAAAAAAAATGCACCTCAAACAGCCTAAAGCTCCATACTTGAGGATGGTTCACTTAAACTCCCAAATATTGCTAATTTAATTTCACATACAATACAACCAGTAACCACAAGTTTCTCTACAGTTAAAAGGCTCAATGAAGGTTTAACTGTATTTGTTTAGTTGATGAGAAGCTCTTGAAGTATCACAACTATCCCTCCCTCAAATCATTAATACACTCTCTAGACCCAACAAAATAACTTAAACTCCCCAACACCTCCCCCCTTTATACTACTGCACTAACTCAATCTGGTTAGACAAAGTTGCTTAGTAGAAAGACCTGATTCTTAATATATTGTGATTTAAACTTTCACAAATTTAATCAAAGTTAAACACAGCATCAAGTTCTACAAAGCAATCTAGGATGACCATAAGCAACGTTGGCCTTATCTATACCCTCAATTTTCCATCAACCATTAGCTGCAACATATTCCAGTGTAAATGTAACCTTGTCTAGTAGATACTGTCTCAACATTATACATATTCATCAGTGAGCAAAACAATTTCTTTCCCTGATGTTGCATTAGAGAAACCATCTGTCTACAACTATTGAGAATTGCTTCAAACATTTACAATTTCTAACACAACCCAAAAGGCAGAAATGAAAGAATAAGAATCTAGAGCACACAGGAAAGCTAATGAGAGAAGAATGAACTGTACCATGTGCAAGCCCTTCGCCTGCAGCTTTTTAATATATTTAATTTCATTTAGATACAACAAAATGACCGATTTATGTAGTAAATCAACTTAAAAGAAAAAAAAAACTGTTAAAAAATAATCACTTCAAATTTTTAACTTCATAAAAACAGCTTATTTTTTAAGAAAGAAAAAAAATCACTTATAAATTGAGGTTATTATCTCAAATACACAACTTTTTATACAAATAACTTCTTTTCTTCCTACAAAAACAGCTTAAATGTGAAAATCTAATCTTCCTTATGGTTTCTAGATCTAGTCTACTTGAAAGAAGAAGAAAAATTGATGAGTTAACAAAAATAACCATATTTCACCATCGAGTACCATTTTAATTATTGACATACACTACTTCGTATTATTTTTAGAGTAATGATACATGTAAAACAAGTTGTAAATCATTATATTATTTTGTTATACAAATATCATTTTCCTTATTCTTACCCTCTGGCATGCTTCAACATTTACAGTCACAACAGCCAGAGGCATACTACATCCAATTTATCTATGTTTTGTTGCCCATGACATAATTTCCAAAGCAACTGAAGTAAAAGGAAAACAAATAAATTTGTAAATCTCAATCTGTTGTTTTTGCACCCCACATTTTAGATAGCTCCTTTACAAGAGTGTTCTGCTCAACATCTTTCTTTTCCATATGCCACTTTCTTGACATATTCTCAGCCTGTAAGTCCAACTTTTGGGTTAAGCCTGTGAATTGAAATTTTCAGAAATGTAAATAAATACAATTTAAAACTTACCCATATTTTGAAGGGAATAAATTGCTCTTTAATATTCTCAAGTTGTGGCTCAACATAGTCTTTTCCCTTAGTTTTGATGTCACCGACCTGTTACAACAACAAAAATTTCCGATAAAGAAGTCAACAAACTGAGATGTAAAGTTTATCTGGCAATATTGCCAATAAAGAGATCTATTAATACAAATGAAAAACCAAAGAAAAAGTCAAACAAGTATCGATATAAAATACGGAGGCTTAACGAAGAAGTTTTATGGTCCTAAATATGTCATTCAACATGATGAATAATTTATGAAGAATGACGAATGCAAATGGAACGAGGGAGGCATTCAATTGGTTTACTTAACTAATTAGAAAACAAACAAACAAACATGTATCAAGAGAGGGAGAGAAAAAATTGCATATTAAACTATAGGGTTAACATATAATTAACATCACTTACATTATGCAGCTCTAACTTGGATGTCACCATACCGAGTACCAATGCAGCTCCACCAAATACAATTGCAGTGGCAACAGCAAATGCCTTTCCGACTATAAGATTGGAAATTACAAAAATTGCATTAGAAAACTTGAGCATCATCTACAAAGAATCTGAAGAACTCTTTTTTTCCCTTGACATCATTATTGGTATAATAAGCACAACAAAATCAGAATAAAGTCATAAACCAACATCTGATAAAGTAAATAACCACCTGAAGGTGCAGGGAAATCAAGTAGAAAAAAATGGGGTTATTCCATGGATTCAATATCCCAAAATGGTAGGGTATCAATGCATTGTCTTCATTGCTATGGTGTCATTGGTGTGTATAAAATTAAGCACACAACATTACATGTATCAGTTGTGCAACTTCTCCAGATAATAGTTATAGTGCTATAGCAAGTGATATTGCATGCCGCTAATAATTAAAGACCCCATAAGTTTGTCCGTGAGTTCCTAAAGCCCAAAGCACTTTTCTACCGCTAAATTTTTTCATACTCTAAATCATACTTGTCCCAAAACAGAGTAGATAATGCCTGTTTTTGACTTTATTATTAACCCTACTACTACTAGTTCAGTAGGATGTGAGGTTTGAGTGATGTAAGCGGGAGAAATGAATTTTGTTCTGTTAATGAATTTTATTTATTAAGAATCATAGGAGGATGTATGGGATGAGTAAACCAATATTTTCTTTCTTTATAGATGGATTTGTCTTTGTTTGTTGTGTGATAGGAGGAAACCATGAAAGTGAAAATGAGTTCCTTTGAGGCAAAATTGTTGGCTTGGAAGAAAGATTGGATTCTTAGGTGAACGTGCATCTGGATTCAAGCCAACTTTATTCCTTGTACCAAAAATGACTCTGAACTGAATACATGGTGTTTGTGAGTGATACATTTTTAAGCTCAAATGGATTGAATATTAGGTGAACCTTCAACTATATCTGGAAAATTTTCTCTCATGCATTAATGAACCCCTCTGTCATTCTTATTTTCGAGTTTGTAAGTTTATATTTGCATGGACATATTCTTCTGCATGCCCTATGGTATCAAATCTTCTGCCATTTCCTTGCTTCAATCATTTATTTTTTCTTTTATTTGCCAGGTCAATTATGGGAACTTCATGCATGGGCTGATGAAGGAGAATATCCAACTTAACAGAAAAGTTCTGTCGGAGATATCTATGCACGAACCCTATAGCTTCAAATCTTTGGTAGATATATCACGAAATGCATTTCCAGGAAACAAGAATGTGGTGGTTCCTCCAAGAAAGGTGGCCATTTAGAGGATGAAGCACTTTAGCAAACGTTTAGTGGTAGTTTGTTAGAATCGTCAACTATCTTTGAGGATTTCGGAGTACTACACTACTGCATATTACTATAAATTTTGTGTGCCTGTGATTCACAAACTCATGGTGTACTTTTTAACTACATGTTCTTTCTCCTCCGCTAGCCCTTTCAATTTTTGCCTTGTGTCAGAAATATTGTATAATAAACCTTGATTGCAAGTACGGTCGATTTAATAGATCATTTGCTGCCATTAGCCTCTACCAAAAATTAATTATTTTTAATACATGTTAAAATTGGGAAGAAAAGTCATCTCCGATGTTAGCATCCATCAGTATTATTGAATTATCCGAATCAATTAGAAAGTTTATTTATAAGATAAAATTGTCAAGGCATCAAAGTAAAATTTATTTTGAACGGCACGCTTCTTTTCTAGTGCTAGTGGGGTTTCTCTGGTACATTCCTTACAAAGGTAAACTTGTTAATTATTCACTCTGCATAAGACAATTGCAAGTCTCCTTGAAGAAAAGGATCCTGAGACCGTTCTTTGAGTGGTTATCTCATATTTGGTTTTAATACTTGATGGGGTTTGTAGATATTCCAAATCCAAATGGAAATAGAGGATCATAATATTTATCACCAACATTCATTGGTAATTGGTCAACTGTCTTGAACCAGGTTCTCGCCAGCTTGCCAGTGAATCCGTAGTCACCAAAGAGAAGATCAGTGACACCTTGGCCTTCAGTTCCTGGAAGCCAAGCAGCCACAAGTGCGTCTATTTTTGATAAATATGGTTGAATCACAACTGGACGGCCAGTAATGAGAAGTACCACACATTTTATAGAGCCACATACTTTGGTGATGGTGCTTGGACCTGGCTCAGCTATAGTCAGATTCAAACTATCACCGAATGTTTCTGCGTAAGGGACTTCTCCTACAATCACTATGGCATAAGAAAAGTTGTTGGAATTGACAAAGTTGGAGTCGGGATTCTCATTGTAGACAACTTTAGTAGCAGGATCAATTGTTTGTTTTACAGCATCAAGAATTGTAGTACCTGTTAGGGAAACGGTATTTTTGTCAGATATTTTGTAACTATTCTACAAAAGAAAACCATGACCAAATATATCAAGTTGCTGTATGTATGAATGTTTTTCATATTAATCCATATCCATACAGGTTTTAGCTGATTTAAAGTATTTGTTTTGGGCAAATTATATTGACACATCGGGGTTTGTTGAAATTTTACAGAACACCCGTGTCTTTTTAGCACTTCCAGTAACTTTCTTTATTTGTTTGAAACACATTATATCTTGTATTCCTGTTGCCTGAGAAATACATTGAACTGTGCATACATGTAAGGAGGGTTAATACAGACCTTAAAAATACGGGAGCATCGTTTGAATTTTTAAGAAACCACAAAGGTGTCAGTTTAATTTGCCCTAATGCTTTTTAACATGTAATACTAAATAGCAAATAGTCACTTCTATAGAGTTTAATTAATCTTGAAAATCTTCTATAAGCAATATTATCGCCACCGAAACTTATCTAGAGTAATTTTATAGAGACCAGAATTAAACATGTTGGCTTACCAACTGTGAGATTATTGCCACCAAGCCCCTGCCAGGTAATTGTCCATCCTCCACATTGATAACCCAAATTGTTAGCATGACTTCCTGCCACCAGTATTTTTGCAGCTTTCTTGGGCAGTGGAAGCAGTGGCTTATCAGCAGATTTACCATTCTTCAGCAACACAAGTGATTTACGAACAGCTCCCCTTGCCAATTGTCTATGCTCCTACTTAAGGCATAGTAGACGATCAAGAAAATAACTCTTTCCATTGGAAAGATATGGTTGAAATTACATCCTTAAGAAAATATACCTTATTACCAAGTTGATTCACCAGGCTTAGATCAGCAAGTGGATTCTCAAATAGGCCCATGACAAATTTTACTCTTAAGATTCTTTCCACAGCATCATCAATCCTACTTACTGGGATAATATTGTTCTTTACTTGATAAGTCATGTCATCAATGAATTCGGTGAAATTAATTGGAACCATGATCTGTAAAATAATGAAAATGTGGTAATAAAATGACAAACCACGACATTCAATTTCAGACACAAAAGTCATAGTATTTCTTTTATTACCATATCAATTCCAGCACCAACACCAGCTTGAATTGAGTATGAATAGTTTGAATGAGGAGGAGAAGTAATCCTGTCAATGCCTAGCCAATCTGAAATGACAAAACCCTGAAAGATGCCAAAAAAGGGTACATCACAACACAAGCTGCATGTTTACTCATCTTCAATTTGTTGGAAGAAAATTGATGGAGGGACTATTTTTTAGATTTTTAAAAATAGAGGGATTTAATTGACTTTAAAAAAAATTAAGAGACCAAAATTACATATAATTTAGATTAAAAGGGACCAAAAGTATAGTTAACAATTTAGTCTTTATTCTTTTACTGGACTTCACTTCAATTGCTTTAATGAAATGAGTTTTATTTATTACCCTGAATTTCAGTTTGTTCTTGAGGTAATCAGTGACAAGATAATGATTAGCATGCATCTTCTTGCCATTCCAGCTAGAGTAGGAGACCATTACTGAAGAAACCCCCTTGACGATGGAGTCATGATATGCAGGCATGTGAATGCTAAGCAATTCCCTATAACTGATCACAGTATTGTTCTCATTAATTCCCTTGGTTGTGCCACCATCTCCTACATAATGTTTAGCACAAGCCGCAACCTTGTTCCTGGGTCAAAGTAATTATAAAAATGATGATGGTTTTCCACTTCCCTAAAAAGTATTAATTCAGGTAAATTGTTATTTCAACCTTCTAGTTTAGGAAAGTAATTTCTAATACAAGGATGAACAACTAATCTAATCTAATTATTCACATTGAACTCGGTAGTTATTATTTTTTTTTAAAAAAAATTCATTGTCAACCTACTACCAAGATTCTTACTTTCCAGCAACATAGGGAACCCCCTTTCTGGAATTGTCTCCTTGCAAACCAGGAATAATTTCTGTCATTGCTCTAACAATCTTAGGGTCCTCACTATAACTTTCATAGCAGCGTCCCCATCTAGGATCTCTGCAGACCTGTGGAAGAATAAGGCTATCCAACATATTAAGACACTTGATCAATGATAAACTTTTATGTGATCTGAAAAACAGAATTGTGAATGCTGTTTTATTACCGCAATACATGGAGCAAAAGCATATTGAATTCCAGTAGCTCTAACTTCAAGGGCAGTTGCATCTCCAATCTTCTTTATCAGCACTGGATCCCTATTAGCCAGTATGTTATATATAATTTAATATAAAATATAATTATGACTATTTATTCAGTTAAGCAGCTAGATAGTGCTGACAGTTGAAATAATAATTCATTTTAAGATCTAAAAAGTCTCAACTATCAAATTCTACAGTCCAATTTGATTTATCTATGAATGAAGGATAATTAATTGAAGGGTTCGGAGAAAAATGTTGAAATATGGCTTTCAATAGCATATGACACCATTAGCCTAAACCAAGGTCTTCAAATTACAAATAAATAAAAAATGACCTTGTCACAGAAGAACATGACTACTCATTGCAGTAAATGTATACTTGCCTGGTAACTCCCAGCCCAACATTGTGAGGAAAGATAGTGGCCTTGTAGACATTATTGTGGCCATGAACTGCATCTATGCCATAAATCATTGGAATCCCAAGGCGGGTAGATAAAGATCCATTTTGGATCCCATTCACCATTTTGACCCAACTCTCAGC